ACCAAAACAATCTATTAGGGAGTTGAGTTGAGGAGAATATATGTTTTTCAATTGTATCTGTATTAGTCAGAATGCCATTTTACATAATTATACACTTACTCAGTCAATAAAATGATCAAACTCAAGATAGAAGACGCAAATAAGCAATGTTTTGGCAGATTATTCATTGGATTCTTAATCTGTCTATCTCTCTTTCTCTCTCTCTCTATCTAATCTTATCTTATTTATCATTTCATTTTAGATTTAGGGTTCTATCTCATCCAGATAAAGCAAATTTCTGTATATCTAAACCAATAATATAATCTTTACTTACAGATATAACTCCCATATTAAATCAAAATTGATAAAAGTGTACATGAAATTCAATCAAAAGCCTATGTTGTATATTAGACGCAGGTAACTGACAAAACTTTTTTTTTAATTTTGAAAGTGCAGTAACAGTAAATTATTTAATAACCCACATATTTATTCCACAAAATATGAAGTGAGCTCTTAAATTAGAAATTGGAGCCAGCTTATTAAATTTTGACATAAAGGATCTAATAAAAGTGCACATTTTAGACCAAGGAGTGGGAAACTTGACATAATTTTTTATATTTTACTCAGTGAATGGTCTTATTTATGGCAAATCTTAAACAGCAGTTTACAGAAAAAAAAACAACATAATTTGAAATTATATTGGTTCTAATATGTTAGTAATAAATGAAACAAAAGTGGCTTAAAACTAGGGGGCCTGTCGGCAAGACTTGATGCAAGTTGTCCATGAATGGCGTTCCTTTATTTATTTATTTATTTATTTATTTGAAGTATCTGCAAGGACAAATATAATCAATCTGATTGCAGACACTATATCTAAACATGCGGAAAACTTTGGAAATACTGAACATCCCGAGGACCTGCACTACAACAAATCTGCAGGTCCTCCCAATTCTGTGCTGGTTTGAAAAAGTATTTTTTTCTGTTAGTCTTTGTTAACATGTGGTTTATTATTATGTCTTGTATTTTCACTTAAACCTTGCCAGTCCAGAGGACCTGTGACATCAAAAATTTTGTAGGTCCTGTGGCATTTCTAGAGGTCATGAACTGTCAGAAAGGCAGTCACCCATTGTGCTGTATATTTTTTAATGTCAAGAGAAAAAGATATAATTGTAATACCATGTCCCTTCTGCTATAATAGAGGTGTGGAATATGAAGACCATTTCATTGGCCATTACACAAAATAAGAAAAGGAACTTTGGTCTGCTGTTGGAAATCAAACATTGCATACCTATAGTCATATACTGCAAACCTGCTGGGGTATGTAGAACTATTGGGAGAAAATCTGCAATACATATTTTGAAATCAGGAATGAATCCCCGAATCCTTGACTGTAGTTAAAGATGGTGCATAGTATAGTGGTATACTACATCTTTACATAACTGCAAATGTACTTAGTCACATCTTCACTGGTGTTTTTGTCAACAACAAATCTCCTTCATCTCCTCTTACAGCATGTGATATGCGAGACTGAGGAGTGGGTATCCAGGATAAAAAGCAAAGCTTCATCATTTCATAACATACCCACTGTTCAAACCAGAAGAAAGCTGGGTGTCAATTTTGTCTTTGTTTCAGATTGTGATTCAGCACAACACGAAAGTGAAAATTGTTTCATGTTTATTACATGTTTTTAATGTTTGGTTTTAGTTTGCATATGTGATGTTTTTCATTGTCAGACTCGGACATTATCAGAAATAATTGATTAAAGTTAGGGTATGCTTATATTATAGTACAAATATAACTCTACAGAGAATTATATATATATATATATATATATATATATATATATATATATATATATATATATATATATATATGGTGAATTGAAGTTATATTTGATCATCTTATTATCATCATTTTTTATTTATTTTTTTTTTTAATTTGAAACGTGAGCTTAGCTGTCAAAAAAAAAAAAAAAACTCTGAAACCAAGATAATATAATACTTCCAATATCTATGTCAATACCTGTCGATTTCTCCTTTATGGAACAATAAGACATCTTACGTACTGTGAATCACGCACACAATGAGAATGGCTGTGCATGCAGTACTAATTGGATATGCTTACTTAGGAAAAGATGGCCAATTACCTGTTTCGTCAGGTAGGAGGGTTGATGTCAGGAAAATACATCAAAGAGCAGGTCAGCTCATCACCTGTCCATTCGATCATAGGAAATATGAAAGCAAAACATGTGGGGAAGGTCACATACTTTCAGTTGCTGGGTTGCACATACTTTAAACTTTACAACCAGAAAAAAAGAAGGATGATCCACATGACAGAGCAACATTACACTGCTCCTCAAATGGGAGATCACTTAACAATTATGTCTAAAGCAATGACAAAATTAATACCTATGGAACTAAAGCCATGGGGATGGGGGTAAGTGTGGTAGGAGGGGGTAGGTAGTGAATTAAAAGGCAAAGACATAAAATGAATTTAATAATTCAAAAGAAAGAGTATTAGTAGATAATACATTATGTTCATGGGCATATGCAACTCCATAAGTATATATTATGCTTGTACAGTAAACTTTAGGAAAACCAGTGTTTGTAACTTGAAACCTAAAAGTCATACAAAATGTACCTATGATCCATGCTTTATTCTTATAAAAAGTGATATTTGGCCCACTGCCTTTAAGGGAAAAATTACTAATACTAAACCCACCATGGCACGTACAACATGAAGAAATCCACCCTCGCCTTGGCAGCATGATTCTTTGGCATTAGAGTAAATAGAATGTGCATGTGCTTTGTTTACATCAAATCTAAAGAAAACTAAATGTTTCTTTGTAAGGCGACCTTTAAGTGTGTCAGGTGAGACTTCAATTTAGAGTGAGGAAGGAATGGGTGGGTGTATTGTGTGTGTGAGCAATTATAATGTCCACCTACACCTCATGTGACTTAAACATTGGAAAAAAAGCTTTTTCTCCAGATGGTCGCAGGGTCTAACATCAAACCAGGTGAGCGAGAACTTGTGATACAAAGAAAATCTTGAAAATTCAAATTATGTGGTGGTAAGTCCGACAGCTGAAACCACGCTTCCTTTCATGTGCCAGTGATTCACAGTCTCAAGGTTTGTGTTTTTTTGTTGAAATTTGGTTTTGTTAGAAGTTATGATGACATGTTGAAGGAGAGGTCCTTGATATATACACTGAATATTTGCAGTATATCATAAATTTGTCACAAAGAATGTTAGGTTCCAGTATAAGCAAGATTGTTTTTTCCCTCCATTGTGAATCTTAATTTTTTTCTATATGCTTTTTCATGTACAGCACATTTAGGGTACATTAAATAAAGCAGTTTTAAATATATAGCTGGGGTCCGATTCCCTCAATCTAAGCAACTTATAATGCAATATTTAATGCAGCATTTAGAACCTGCTTTTTTTCTGCCATGATCTTCATGATGGTAAGTTATCCTACCAAATCTTTATAACCAGATTTTCAGTGTGGGAAACCACTGAAAGCTGGAGTCATATGATTTTTACACATTCTGGATGTAGCCTATACTGAACTTAACCCTGAATCAAGACACAAGCTGTCCCAGGGATGGATGGAAGCCATCTGCTGGATCTTCTGGAAGACGGTCAGAATTTTCAAGTTTACATGAAATTTTCTGTTGGAAGATGGTCAAAATTGGAGGATGGATATAATAACATATATGAAATCATTTTAAATTTGTCTTCTTATAGTTTTAAAACTTACCTACTCTCAGTCAAATACTTATGTCTCCTGCAAAATGAAATAACTGTATCTATAATAACAAAAAAGATACATATAAATATGTAAGACTACAAGACAATGTGCTTGTATTCTCTAGCATTCTATGAAAACAAATGAAATGAACCATTAAAATCAATCCAATAAACATGCTAGGCCATCTGTATGATTATACTTTTCATGCAGTGGGAAGGCTATTGCCATACTCCTTCTATTTTCATGGAATCATGACTCAGTATCATGTGGATCCAGATCAAGTTAAATCATCCATTTCCAGCCAGGATATCATGCTGTCCAGGCATACATAAAGAATCAAGCACTGGTCTCAGAAATTCAACTTGCTGTATTTGTTTTGGGTCAAGATGTAATTCATGTACTCCTGGAGTGAGTACACCTGTTAAAAGCTATTAGAGTTACATGTATGATAATCTTTTTTTTTCCACCATCTATTTTTTCCTTTTCAAAATGTAGACTCTTTGTGTGTTAAGGCTTAACACATATAAAGACCCCGTTCCCATACCTAGATCGATCTATCAGGATCAACTCATCCACGAGGGGGTTTCTTGCTAAATTACATTCAGCTTAAGCGGCTCTGCATGATGTCTGGCGTGCCTACAGAGGCTGTTTTGGGGTAATTAACCATCATTAAGCAGCCTCAGTAGGTGTGCCAGACATCTAAGCCACTTAAACTGAATGCAATTTAGCGAGAAATCCCTTGGAGATGGGTTGATCCTGCTAGATCAATCTAGGTATGGGAACGGGGTCTAACTGAGAGTACACCGTGCATGTGTACTCCATGACTAAACAATGGGTGTGGGAGGGAGCGTGTGTGGGTGTGTGTGTGAGTGTTTAATCTCTAATTTAATATTGTTTACATTTAGTGACCACAGATTATAAAGAAATAATCTAAGACATCTGCTAAAATTCCACATCCTATCTCTAATCTTACCTTTACCTTTGAAAAATCTTTTAACTACTCGGATGTCAAATCTACTTGCCACCTGCCTTAGACCATTAACTAATTATCAAACTTTTTTATGTCACAAGAGTTGTTTATAAGCCATTTTCAAAATTAAATTGTTTTTTTTTTTCAGAGTACAGCTTTCTCATTAGACCCTCAAGCTGGACTTACTGCCTCTTGATCAAGATTCTAATGGACCATTGACTAATTATCTAAGTGTTTTTATGTCACTAATTTTACTTTTTAATATATCTATTTTCAAAATTTTCTGTGTTCTTTTTTCAGAGCACAGCTTTCTCATTAGACCCTCAACCTGGACCCAGTGGCTCTTGATCAAAACTCTCGCTTAGTGTTTGCGATTCGTGCAAAGACTTAACATGTGCAGGTCGACGTAACAAGGCATGGAATCTCAAACAAGCATGTGGAATGTCGTAATCTCTCAAAATTATTGCCACATCAACAGAAATGTAAGGTCATTCATCAATATAGTGTTCACATTTTGTCTTCTTTATAAATTTTTCGATGAGCTGTCTTGGAGACTGTTAAAAGATTTGGAGGACTTTAAAACCTGGCAGGATTTGATACTGGATATTTTTTCAGTGTTGAAGACATTTTCTGGGACTATTGGTATGTTAAGGAACGTTTTTTTGTGGGAGAGATTTCAAATTAAGCAGGAAACAACTACAGTATGTGCACATCAAATGGAAAGAAGTTACGCCTCAAAATGGAGAAAATCTTCAGCAAGTGGAACAAGAAGAAAAATAAAATGGATCTGGAAAACAGTAGTGAAGTAAGAATTGGGGAGTCCTTCTAGGAGTGAAGTCACATGTAATGTGATGCACTGTGTGACTTTTTTTTTCATTTTTTAGCACCTGCTAGTTTGAGATAAGTAGCCAAAGAGTGTGAAAAACTAGTCTCCTGCGTACTGAATGTACTTTTTTCAAGATTATAATGTCTTCATCTGACATGTTATATATGATATTATTATATGTTATATAAAACTACATTGGTCTTATATATATCTAAAGTACATTATTTATTTTTATATGAAGTGAAAACATGAGATACTGTATTATTGACAGGGCTCATTCAAATCAGGTTTATTTTTTCAAGACAGTCTTTTAGCAGATTCGTGTTTTTAATAATATCTTGTTAAAAGCTAAATTATGTAACTTTTTATGTAACACTCTGTGCCTAATTAAATGTGGAGTAAATCAATTATTTTGGCATTATGTATACTGCAATTTAATTTTAAGGCTGCCAAGTTTAAACATTACAACTTAAGTCCTCTTCACATCATGTGTTATACTTATCTGTAGGGAAACACTCAGCAGGATTCACAACAAAAAATACTTTTACGTAAAAAAAAATCACCTTAAAACAGAGCCATATACTCAATACTGACAGTTAACCTATTAATTTTAACTGATGGGTCCAAAAAGTTGAAAGCATTATTGTAAATTGGAGCAGAACTCCTCAGAGGGTAATAACTATATATAAGGACCATTCCAGGTGTTACAACATAGATAAATGTAACACATGATGTGTAAGCGACCAAAGTATATTTTTAATATTGCATCAGGCTGTTGCATCTTTTGTCTCGGTGGATTTATAAAAAAAACAGTGTTAAACTTCTGTTTTAATTTTATGTAGTGTTTTCAAGTTTTAAATTTGCTATTTATAAATAAAGCTATATTATTGCAACATGTTCAAAAGAGAAATGTTGCATAATGCATACCATTGTATTACAATGGTTACAGAATTACAATATCAAACATCAACGATTTATAACAATCTACATTTTCACATTAATATGATACTTTTTCAACAACTTACAATGACTTGTGACATTAAAAATACAAATTTAAACCATATGCAACAACATTAATGCAATAAAAACATCACCATCTCTAAATGTCGCATCAGTATACATTAAGAAGAAAGTACATTATACAATATAACAATACTTTAACTATACTTGACACAAGTTCAGTGTTATGTCACCTAGAAACAATGCACAATGCCATTTTACAATAAACATTTTACAACATGACATGTAAGTAACAAATTCATTACAACATGCTAGGACACCTGCAGGACATTACACCAAGCAATAATTATTGAAATTTGTCTCTTGGTTATATAAAGGTCTAATTATTGGTGTATGACCGTCAAAACAAATACGCAATGTTTGAGTACGGCTATATTCTGAATGGAAATATTTTTGACAGCTAAAATCCCACAAATGGTCCCTTGAATTGACTTATTTAAAAATGTATAGATCATAAAAGTTTTATCTTCTTTGAAATACTGTTGGAGAGGTAAAAGTGGTCTTGTTTGAAATTTTTAGGCTGTCTTTCAAGCATTGTTTTCTGGCATGTTGACCATGTCTGTTTTTTTTTTTCTTTGAGATGCTGGTCATTTGAAAACAATAAGCTACATTGTAGTATGTTGCATGTATATTCAAAATGTTTAAAGCAAAATTATTTCTATTGTTATCTGTGTATTTGTTGTTAATTTTTTCTTTTTTGATTGGTTATCTAATAATACATGTATGTTTTAAATTATTTTTACTTTTTATCTACTTTTTGAATGGTCTCGTGGATAATCAAGGGTGTGACGAGACACAGTTATGAACCTTTTAAAGTTAAGACCTAAATCACATCACAAGGTATTTAAATTGTTTCACCAGTGAGCTAAAAAAAATGGGAATCAGCTGAGATAGCTTAAAACGAGACCCTCGACACTTTGAAACATCATACGAGACAATAATCTTGCAAGTATCAATTTTGCGAGTTGGGGTTAACTTTTTAGCAACAGGGGCCAAATTCATAAATTTCTTCTTAGAGACACCAAAGTGTCACTCATAATGTGGCCGATGTGTCCTGCAGAGCAACAGATTTCTAATTAAACAGAAAGTAAGAGAAAACAACCAGTAAAATGCCCACAGATAAATTCTGTCAGCTTAGATTCAGTGCTGCATTGCATTTACTGTTTTATCAATATTTTTGACCCCAGTGCCCTCCACATTACTGCAAAATCTTGCTTGATTTTACATTATGTCATGAGACTCGAGGCTATCTCAGATAATTTTCATTGAAAATTCAGCAATAGGCTTATTAGCAATCTACTCATAATAGCTCTTCCTAACAGTAGCAAATCCAGCAGAGCAAAGCCAATAGCTCTAACTGGGCTGAGACTGTTAAATCACTGGTAAATGAATTTGGTCATCTTGTGATGTCATCAATACCTGAACCAGTCTAGGTTGATCTCTGTGTCTGATTGCACCTTTTGGGTGATTCTAGGGTAGACTACATATGGGATCTCTGTCTCTCCTCATAAAGCGAAGAGTTATTCTCATGGCTATGATTTTTTCTGTGGGTAAGATTATAGACAGTACTATATTCGAGATATCAGGGGTTGGTTTCACTAAAGTACCAGTAAGAATGAAAATTGGTGGTTACTTTGATCCATGATACTTAAGTAATAGTCTGCTGTAATGAAACATTGTATCTTATAGTAAAAAGAGAGAAATGGTAAATGCTATAGACCAATGATCATCTTTTTTATAGTGGACCACTGGATTAATCCAGTAAGTTGAAAAGGGCCAAACTTCTTGGTCCTTAAGTATGGAGATTATTATATATTATAATAACTTTTGGCCATAAGTTTGTAAAACCAGCCCCTGATTGTATAAAATTTTGGTGGTTTTATGGTCCACTTTAATCAGCCCTGTATACAAATGCAAAAGTGAAAGTATTTTTACAGTGGTGGTGCTATATGTTCTTATTATACATTTATATAATATAAACAAATTAAAGCTACATTTCGGTCTCATTAAGAGTACTATATTATATGATATTTGCTACACCCTTTGTTACGTTTGTATGGTAATTTATATTGTTATGTTGATATTTTGAAATTCATTGATTAAACTTTCTACAGGTTTTGTAAGCAAATTTAGAGTAAGAAGACACCTTTGCTGTGCAATGATCTCAAAGTTGTCAGATGGTTCAAGTACAAATGGAGCATGTAAAAACTTTAACAAGGACACTCTTTTGGATTTAATATCATAATAGCCAACTGCACAGAAACAATATCACCTGATTCAAGCATTGAAGTGAATTTTTATTTAATCCGTAAGATAGACTAAAAGTAATTAAAGTAAATTTTCTAACTGAGGTTAAAGCACCTAAATTGATTCTTGTAAGAAGGCTCATATAAAAAAGCATCATGTTATGATTAAGCTCAGTCAGCCATTAAAGTAGTCAGAAATCTCTTGTATGCAACATATGGTAATAAGTACAGGACTATGGAAATAATGTTAATGATACTGGTAGTGAACTATTTCCATAGTTTAATTGTTTGTTGCTCCCACGGATTGTTTGTTGTTACTGAAGTATCCACAAGTACTGTTACACAGGGAGAGTCTCGATAGTCGAAAGGTTCATTGGTCTGAAGATTCATTGGTCCAAAAAATGGTAACTTTTCATCAGTTTTTTAATCAAGGGTTCATTGGTCTGAAGGTTCTATAGTGAACATACAGACCAATGAACATTCAGACCAATGAACCTTCAGACTATTGCTATGGCCCCGTTACACAAGCAAAAACCAAATGGGGATCTCAATCACAGGAACTCTTCTATTTTTGCTTGAGTATCTTTTACTTTGTATGCCTTGTGTGAAAATATCTTTTAAGTAAATAAACCTTGTGTGAAAATATCTTTAAATTTATGTCAATATAACTTCATGAAAAAAATGTGCATGTTATTTAAAACTTTTTTCAAATTAGAAAAGAAGGTGAAGGATTTACAACCATAAAATATAATATACAATAGTTAAATTAATCATCCTGATCTCCCCTCCCCCCCCCAAAAAAAAAAAAAAAAACAAATTTATAAAATTTTCTGACAGTCATATTTATTTAACAATTAACCCATGAACTAAATATTCCACAACACAAATACTACTTCATGGTTTTATTCACAATATAATAGATCTTAAATAAACCTAGCTGAAATGTACTATTAAATATTGATTGTCCAAAGCTCCCATTGAAATATATATCTTCTCCCATATCACTGCCTCACATGTTTGAACATGAATGACCACAAAAGTCATGACAAGCCTCTTTACCACCAAGGTCATTTCGCAAATGAAACCTTTCTATATATAATAGTTAAACTAGAACTTGCTGGATGTGATAGCACATTCAATCATAAAATTGAGTGACAAATATGTGGCAGAGATAGGGAAAGAAGAAGTCCGTGGGCCTCTAAATAATACCGGAGTGGTTACTTTTTTTCAATGAACAAAGAATAAGTGCAAGTATTGTTACCCTTGTGGCAGAAATAATTGTGGAACTGTACATTTAAGAAAGGCAAGAGATTTCATCTGGTAATGCTGACTGCTAGAGATGAAAGTCCCTATACCCCGTCTGGCTCATTGCAAACAAGCTTACAAATGCACATGGAGGGAGGGTTCAAATTATGCAGGACAAAATCACTGTTCACTAGTCGCTACAAATACACAAAGTAACTTTCTCTAAATGATGACAATATTGATTGGTCATGAACTATAAAATGAAAGCTTCAATCAAGTTGTTAAAAAATCTAAGTTTATAATGATTAATAGAAGATTTCTTTACTAAACTGAAGTAAATCATGTGATAATATAAATTATTATACAAAAATATATTAAAAATGGCAGTGCTGGGTGAGACAGAAAGAAAGAAAAAAAAGAAAGGAAAAGAGGTAACAAGCAAAACAGTCATGACATATTTTCTTATGTCATCGAGATTCAAAAGTGCACCAGGGGAAATAAAACCAGAAAATTAAATGCTGAATTCTACCAGGTGGTCACTAAAATCATATAATTAACTAGGAATCCAACAAGGAATTCCCCCTTCTAAGATAATTGATACTTCCCCCTCTCTACCACAGGTATGAAGATATGTTGAGGATGAATGAGCCAAGTTCTGCTAAGAGAACCACCAAATATTTCCTGTTTTTCACCAGGCGTCTTTGTGCGTGTTCCCATTGCTGGCCCACCCTAACCACACAAAGAGATCTGGGTCCCAAGACTGGATTAACTCTTAGCCACCCCATGCATGCTTTACATAGTACTTTGACTTCTTGACAAGTTTGGATTGTGCACTAAATAACTTCCAAAAAGGGGTGAACTAATTAAAATTGAACAATAGTCTGGGATTTTTTCTGCATGATTTAGTTTGGTTTGAATACAGCTTCAGTATCATTGTTCTACAGTGCAAGAACTCCATGAAAGGTTGAATTAATTGTGTACAAAGCTTGCTTTGTGATTCAGCTTTAGTGTTTTTCTGTTAAAATTTGGTTTTTACAAGCTAAAAAAACTGGTCTTGTTACAATTCCTCCCCCCCCCACCCCATTTCAGAATATATATTAAGTGCAATCCATTTCTTTTTTATTTTGCTTGTTTTATGACCCAGGCTTATTGTATAATATGACTTTTTACATGCTTAAAAAATTGTATTACATAAATTAAACATTAACCATTTCAAAAATGTGTGCATAAAGTGAAATCCTTTTAATTAATATTCAAATCAAATTAAGCACTTTTTGGTCCCATTTTGCTATCAATGAAACTGACAAGGTGGGTTATTGGTGAATTACTATGGGGAAAACTGTAAGTATGTGGGGAAACACAATATTTATGGTGATAGTGTTGTGGGCTGGGAGAAATACAGATTCTGTAAATCTGTTTAAAAAAGTGTGGGAACAGTGGTTACGGTAATGCTCATACTTGTTAGTTATAGTTAAAAAGCAGGGTTGTCTGCAAACTTCCGTGATTGTACAGCTAAAAACAAAAAATGAAATAAAATAAAAAATAAACAAAAATAAAAGAAAAAAGAAAAACTTTTGCAAAGAGAGGCATATTGCATCCATTCCCCCCTCAAACAATATTTATCCATCAAATTAACAAATATTTGGCAATTATCGTTAATCACTGATAATCCTTTTTGGCAAGATTTCCACACCTCAATATAAACACACAGATATAAGATACTACTGTGTTATCAGTGATACACATCTAGATTAAGTAAACATTTCAGTGCTCTCATCTGCAACCACTTAAGACAAAATTTTATTTATTTATTCAAGTTCTATTTTGCCTTTGCTGTCTCTCCAAACTGATACTAAAGACAAAAACCCACTATTGTTTTAATTCAATCAAATGTCATCGTTTACAAATCAAATTTAATTTAGCATTGTAAATGTTAGGCCAGCTTTGTTTCGAAACAAAAAGAAAAGTCTTACAGTTGAATCAGGCATGTTACTCCCAACCACAAAACCCACAAAAATTCAGTTTAGGTGTGTCTGTTTAACTTTCAAATTTCATTTATTCACAAGTTTAATTCAGTTTGTCTAGCTGTTGAAGGTAAGATCAATTCCAAAACACCACTCATCATAGTTAATACTCTGGTTGACAAAATGCAATAATTACATTTCGTGATTCCATCAAAACATAAATAATTGTTATCCCCTAGCAAGGTTAATACCTGTATCTGAACCAGTTTTTCCACCATTTAAAGGAAGAATGATATTTTGGTAAGAGCTTATAACCTCTAAACCAGATCATATTTAGAGCTCCTAGATCAGGCCTTATAAACGGATTAAGCGTTTACTAACACTACCCGCAGATTTTTCACCAGTAATGTCCATATTAACCACATAACCCACTAATTAACCAACACACCGTAAAAAGTATTTACCACTGCCATAATAATTCCTAGTACTAACACTCATCCACTATGGTAGTGGTAAATACTTTTTACGGTGTGTTGGTTAATTAGTGGGTTATGTGGTTAACATGGACATTAGTATAAAAGATCTGTGGATAGTGTTAGTAAACATCTAATCCATTTATAAGGCCCATAGAGAGATTCTGTGAAAAAAGGATACAAGGAAATAAAGTTTTAACTGCACTAGAAGGGCATTCCAGCCAAAGCATTGGACTGCCTTTATTCATTTACTTCATCCATTCATGGAAGGAACAGTTAGAAAACACACAAGGGGCTCCCAAACACATTGACAACCCTTGAATGCCCCCCCCTCCCCTCCCCAACACCTTAAATAAGTACCATTACCCAGGTACTCTGTTAAAAGTGGGGTGATTTTAGTCATTTATTTTTACCTTTCATCACAGTAGAAAGCTTTGTACACAAAAGGCTTAAAGTTATCCTTTCTAAAAGTGAAAAGTTTCTTAAAGACAATTTCAAAATTTTTCTGCAGCAATTTCTTTATTTAATGTTCTAAAAGGGGCCAGACTATGAGGTAACACACTTCACTTTTTTCATTCGACTCTCATTCATGCATTTTTGTATCCTACTGGCATATACATGCACATGTTACATATGAAGGTCCAAATTTCCAAAGAAAAAGTCTTGTTAGTTATGACTGTGAAGTCATCCAAAACTGATTATCTACAAGGATAAATCTTCCAAAACAGCAGCCCCTGAAAGAGTCATAACTAACCCATCTATAAAAAAATTAACATCCTGGAAACAACCAAAAAGGAAGGAATAATATTAATCCATTCAATTTCTAATAACGTACAACTGATTTTATGTATTAAATTTTGTATTTCTAAATCCCTTTTTTCCATCCCAACTTTATTGTATTGCTTTGACTTAAAAGTTTTTTTGAAGTTGTAAGTATACTTTATTATGTCTGGATGTTATATATAAAATCACTTCTCCTCGAATGACAATATGATACTATAACCTTCACCTCATGATCTTTAATTTCCTCCCTTTATGCTGTGAGACACGCCAATACAATAAAGACATGAAGTTTTTGCAATAGATCTGTTTTATTACAAGAGAGAGAGAGTAGAAACTGATCACAATGGACAGAGGTGGGCCACTGCAGTTGAGAAAAAAAAAGTGTTTTGTCTGCTACCAAAAATACTTTTGTATCCAGATAATAATCAATAATGATGTCTGCATTGAATATATGCATCTGCAATCTAAACCTTGACCTAAAAGACTGCTTGTGCTCAAATGTTACAAAGACAATGCATGTTTTTTTTCACCGATTCAGAATTGAATCTTTTCATCTTTCCAAAAAGCCAGACTGCCACCAAGGCCCCTTGCATCCTCTTAAGTCATGCACTTCTATCCCAACTTAATAAATAAATAAATAAATAAATAAATAAATAAATAAATAAATAAATAGAAGCATTATAGTAAGACAGTCATAAGTGCTAAAACTGTAACCTTTCAAACCAGAGAACTTTACTACTTCTTCTATAATTTTGTATCCAAATTTCTAAAAATATTTCCATAAAGTAGCATTTAAGCAAAGCAATGATAAAATGGACATTCCCTTAGATGGTGTTGGAAATGATGGTATTTTATCAAGAATTGTTGGTGTGCGAAATATCTAAAACGTGGTACCCACATGGGTGCTTAATACTTGTATTATACTTATTAATATGGTAGTGAAGGTTTCTCATTTTCATAACTATAATCATATTTACACAATTCCATACTTAACAGATAATGTACAATGTATCAAAGACATGCAGTAATGCCACGTGGAAATACTGTAAATCAGAAAGTGAATTAACCAAAAATGTAAGCATTATCAAAACAAAATAGTTTTATATTACAACCAGTAATTATCAAAAGTGACAAAATGAAGTTAACTTAAGTACAACTATACTGGGGCCAAATGAATCAAAACCCGACCGACTTTTCTTAAAGTATTCAAATTGATTACTTAATTTTAGAGCTAAATTAGCATGAGCCAGCAAATGGTCTGCAAAAAAGGATTTTCAAAATTGGTCGACGTATTGCTATATTAAATGGTACCTTGTACCTATTACTGTTCCAATATGATGCCTTTCTCTTGAAAAGCAGATCTTCTGATCCAATAAAATCACTGATTAGCATTATTATCATTTTTTTATTGCCCAGATGTAGGAGAATGAGATATTTTTGCATTAAATACAGAAAATAAGACTGAAAGAATATGGTAAAAGGCACAGTGGCAAATCCTTGGTGCTAAATACTCTAATATATTTTTCCTATGCCCATATGCATTTTGCAGTTTATTTTTACATTACTGTAATTATTGGAATATGTGATACATTAACACCTGACCACAAATATATGCTTTTCAATGTGCTCTTGATTTTCAGGAGGAAGGGGGTCCTCTTTCAGTAAAATCTATATTTCTTGTGTCATATGACCATTATTTGCCTTCTGTGCCTTTCAATAAGACAAATATTGCAGAAACTCACAGTTACATACCAATTGTGATCTTTTCAATTGTGACACAGCAAAATTGATGCATGTTGGTACACACTTAAATTCAACTCTATACTAAAGTGTCACTTAAATGGGATCCAATTTTATTGCAACCCCTGTATTAAGACTCCAAAGTTTGGCAACTAAATAAAAAAAGAAGGCACTTTAACTGAGAATACTGAATAATAGCATATTTAACTCAATAAATGAAAAATCAATCATAAATATATGATATGTGTTAGGGAAAGTTTGTATTTGTCATACAGCTGATATAGCATGAGTAACAGATGTCTTAGTAACATGTTCTTCTTGGATCAAACTCTGATATGCCCAATCTCACAGAGATTTAATTTAATTTACACTATCTCTTTCCACATATTTTCTAAAATATTAAAAATCGATCACGTCACTAGAGAATACAGCTGAGCAATTCTAGGTCAAGGCCACTCTTAGCTGACCTTGACATCAATATCATGAAAACATTTCAAATACACACAGTGCAATAAAAAATATTAGAAAATAATGGAACTGGCACATCATCATCATCTTCTTCGCCACATGCGTATTCACACTATTTACTACTTATCAAACAAACATTTGAAAAATAAAATGTACAAATCCTACCACCCATCTCACCATGCCACTCACCAAGTTATTCAGAATCTAACATTTTCATTAAGCCTTTAAAAAATTGTCAAGACATCTACATATCTAGGGCACTGGCATCCACATTTTTCATGCTGCATTCTAAACAAGCCAAACCACATCACTATTATCACTTCATTATCAATAAGACATAGGTAGCGCCTCTCATGCAGTAGTCTAACTAAGCGATCTATCCAATATATTCACCTCATTTTTTGGTGTATAGCATGACAAGTTCCCTAAACCATCACAGATGTGTTTTCTACAGTGAAAATTGATATAATTATGTTTTGGTCACAGCCAGAAGAGGCCTTGTTAGTCTAACTAACACGCATGGTAGTATCAAAGATATGACATATGACACAGTCATTTTTTTTTTTTTTTATGAAAAAATACCTGCCAAACTAGGGGCAGGTCTTTGAAAAAAAGATAATGACAGAATATCTTAATCATAGTGTTTTCAAACCAGACTTAAACCAATCCTGGTCCCCGCTTCTCAAATAATCTTAATCCGTAGTTGACTAGGATGTGTACAAGTCTCCAAGAGAGTGCTGTAAAACTGTTCCTGATAGGGTGAGATGTGTGCATTTGTCCATGAGTGCTGTAACACTGTTCCTGATAGGGTGAGATGTGTGCATGTGTCCATGTCCATGTCCATGTTGGTAACAAAGATGTTAGCCAGAGAACTGACTTTTTTTTTTTTTTTTTTTTGGAGGGGGGGTTAATCCTGACCTGGTCTAGGTTCACATGACATCACCAGCTGAGAAGACAAGCTAGGCATACACCAGTTAGCCAATGAATTAATTCTCTTTGACAAAAGTGCTGAATCCAACAAAGAGCAGCTGTGTGGAGGGGTGAATTCAGTTAACTTCCAACAAGCATAGACACAGGGATGAGACTATCATTTAAGGAAAGTCTGAAAATATGGTCTGGGTCGTCTACACCATTGATATTTTTGGCTCCCAAAAAGTCAAAAATTCCACGATAGTCAGACAAATCTCATCTCTGTAGACAACAATAACACTGATAAATTGATTGGCTCATCTAATGATGTCATATAGATCTAAACCTGGACGGTTGTAAGTATGTGTGTGAAGACACCTTAAGTTGTACTTTCGAGATTATTCTGTACTTTTGATATGAACTGCAGAATCACCACTAATAAATAGTCTGTGACTGATTACAAATGATAGACCCTGAGTGATCTTTTACTAGGATCAACCCTAGGGCACATGAGGTCTGAGCTGGACTGGTATATAAAAAAAAACAACCATACGTCTTTGCACATGAATTTTTGACCTGTTCATGCAATGGTGCTTTCATGAGCAGTAAGTTTCACGCCAAGCAACTGAAAGGAATGTTCACAAAGTAAATCTTGTCAAGAACAACCCTTCTTGCATTGCTATTATTCAACAGACTGTATCAGCAATTTGAGCTCTCTGAATGTACTGCCCAGCTTCCCCTCCACGTTCTGCTTCCCATCGACAATATCACGCACGTCCATTAGGTATTTAAAGCAGCCTCTGCAGCGTCGTAATCTGCAAAACAGGAATAAATAAAGAGAATGACGCTGACCACGTGGCCGTGCAGCTAACGCCTGTAGGTAACCATCTTGGAGATGTTAGAGACTACCTGATAGGCCAGTTTGAAGAGTCCTGGGTTCTGAAGAACCAATCACAGTTCAGAATGCAAAACAGTGTGCATATCCATCTCTCATCACTCCAGTAAAGACATAAGTAACTGTACTTCCCTAAAAGTACTGCCCATTTTTCCTTGGACATGTGACTTGCTGTCTAAAGTTGATCGAATGTCCATTAAATTGTTAAAGCAGCTCTTGCATTTACGTATTCTGGAAGACAGAAAGGGTTATTCTGGGTTATTGTGACAGACACCACAATTCAAAGTGACTCAGAGTGAAACTATTCATAACAGGACTAAAATTTTACAATGACTAGTTCCAATACACAAGCAATGAAAATCTTGAATTTTTTTATAGTGTGCGACCGTCTTATCCCCTGTCTGAAGAAGGACATGGAATAACATGACTTCAAGCTAACAAAACATTTATAACTTTCAGTGCTTGTATTTAAAGAACTTCATGTTATACNGGGTTAATCCTGACCTGGTCTAGGTTCACATGACATCACCAGCTGAGAAGACAAGCTAGGCATACACCAGTTAGCCAATGAATTAATTCTCTTTGACAAAAGTGCTGAATCCAACAAAGAGCAGCTGTGTGGAGGGGTGAATTCAGTTAACTTCCAACAAGCATAGACACAGGGATGAGACTATCATTTAAGGAAAGTCTGAAAATATGGTCTGGGTCGTCTACACCATTGATATTTTTGGCTCCCAAAAAGTCAAAAATTCCACGATAGTCAGACAAATCTCATCTCTGTAGACAACAATAACACTGATAAATTGATTGGCTCATCTAATGATGTCATATAGATCTAAACCTGGACAGTTGTAAGTATGTGTGTGAAGACACCTTAAGTTGTACTTTCGAGATTATTCTGTACTTTAGATATGAACTGCAGAATCACCACTAAAATAGTCTGTGACTGATTACAAATGATAGACCCTGAGTGATCTTTTACTAGGATCAACCCTAGGGCACATGAGGTCTGAGCTGGACTGGTATATAAAAAGAAACAGCCATACGTCTTGCACATGAATTTTTGACCTGTTCATGCAATGGTGCTTTCATGAGCAGTAAGTTTCACGCCAAGCAACTGAAAGGAATGTTCACAAAGTAAATCTTGTCAAGAACAACCCTTCTTGCATTGCTATTATTCAACAGACTGTATCAGCAATTTGAGCTCTCTGAATGTACTGCCCAGCTTCCCCTCCACGTTCTGCTTCCCATCGACAATATCACGCACGTCCATTAGGTATTTAAAGCAGCCTCTGCAGCGTCGTAATCTGCAAAACAGGAATAAATAAAGAGAGTGACGCTGACCATGTGGCCGTGCAGCTGACGCCTGTAGGTAACCATCTTGGAGATGTTAGAGACTACCTGATAGGCCAGTTTGAAGAGTCCTGGGTTCTGAAGAACCAATCACAGTTCAGAATGCAAAACAGTGTGCATATCCATTTCTCATCACTCCAGTAAAGACATAAGTAACTGTACTTCCCTAAAAGTACTGCCCATTTTTCCTTGGACATGTGACTTGCTGTCTAAAGTTGATCGAATGTCCATTAAATTGTTAAAGCAGCTCTTGCATTTACGTATTCTGGAAGACAGAAAGGGTTATTCTGGGTTATAGTGACAGACACCACAATTCAAAGTGACTCAGAGTGAAACTATTCATAACAGGACTAAAATTTTACAATGACTAGTTCCAATACACAAGCAATGAAATTCTTGAATTTTTTTATAGTGTGCGACCGTCTTATCCCCTGTCTGAAGAAGGACATGGAATAACATGACTTCAAGCTAACAAAACATTTATAACTTTCAGTGCTTGTATTTAAAGAACTTCATGTTATACAATAATACACACACCTGCTAATACTCTCTCTATTTACATAGACATATTCTATTTCTCTTCACACAGGCTATGACTACTTCTATTCACATGGGTCAAGACTATTTCTATTCACACAAAACAACTGTAGATAACTTTGAGTATCATTTATTACACAAAAAGAGTGCTGTTATTAATTATAGAATTGGTATTGTCTTAATGTGTTGGAGGTGACACATTGCATTGTGGTTACCCTCTGGTGGGAGTTTTTGTGAAGTGATGTAAGGAATCCATGTTGATGAAGACGTGTATTGATAATTAAGTAACAGTTGTGCCCCTTTGTATGGCATTTTGTTACATGAACAATGTGAAAGTTCTCAGTGCATGACTTCATTTGTGCCGTGAGCCAGAATACAAACATGGATTAGCCAGTTCAAGAGTGATGTTGAAAGACAAGGGTTCAAAGAAGAACAATATCAAGTATATGTGGATAAAAGAGCCAGTTCAAAAGTGATGTTGAAAGAATAGGGTTCAAAGGAGAACAATTTCAAGTACATGTGGATTGAGCGTGAGATGAGGATGGAAAGAAGACAACTGTAACAGAAGCAGATGGAGCTTGAGAGGATGAAATTGCAACTGGAGCTCAGTAAAAGTCATAGAGAAGTACCAAGAGAAGCACCAGTGGCAGAAGATTGCCCAAATTACAACTAGCTACTTTCTCCAGTGATGTGATGGAATTGATCAAACAAAGATAAAAGAACTGAAATATAATATGAACTGATGAACTATTTGAACTGTTAGGATTATACTATGAACTATCAAAGAATACTGTGGAATTATTGTTGGAGCAGTGGGTGTTCCAGTGTAAACTGTAAAAAGTGCATTTTGTTGACTTTATATGACATTTAATATAAAAAGACTGGATATGGGCTTGGTTAATTACCTTAATAGATTTATTGCACTAAAAGTATTAATTTGTATGAATTTTGTGGGGAGTATGTTATGAATTACAGAAATCGTAAACAGTTGTGTCCTTTTGTATGGCATTTTGTTACATGAGCAAGGCAAAGTCCTCAGTGTGTGACAAGTGCATTAATACAAGTCTCTGTAAAAGGATCATGAAAATTTGAATTCAAAGACATATTTTCATAGTTTGTTATATTTAGATGGTTATTTATGAAATTTTGTCAAAAGAAATTTCTACACAGTGCAGGTCAAGATTTAATTCACTCTTTACATTTCAAAGATTTTAAAATCAGGTAAACACCTTGATAGAATGTTTTCTACCACCTGATAGGCTGTACTGGAGAGTATTTGACTCCATGCAACCAATCGCATTTTAGAATAAAAAAATCTCACCTTTCTTCCCGCGTTATGTCCACTCCTATTGAAGGGGGGGCATTAACTGTCTCCTTAATCACAGGTCCAAAGTTCTTTAATACTAACTTTAAAGCTGAGCAGCCACAGTGGACATAACTAAATAACAAAAACAAAACGGTTTCAAAATCAAAACCAAAAGACAATTGTTACAGTTTGTATTTAATGTATAGTTTCTGATTTCACAGATGCTATGTAGATCAGGAAAGTAGTTTGCTGAACAAAGTTTGAAAACATTATTCTCTGGGCAAAAACAGCTTTTTTGTTATGACAAAGCAAAAGTGTATTCTGGTTTTTACTACGTACTATACTTTGGTATTTACAATGTAAATACTATTGACATCAAGATTTCAGTAGTTTTTCAGTCTTCAAGATCTGTATCGTTTCACTGATGAGGTTACCTTTCATATTTGCTGTTAATAAGATCCTTGAGGTGGGGCAGCATTCCAAGACACACGTCCAGGTTCCAAAGGGCTCTACCACATAAAAACAATGACATATCTCAGAGTGTTAACATACTAGACTGGACAAGACTGGGCTGAATTGGGTTCACACTATTAGGAAACATTTCTTTAAGCTGAACAGCTTCATAATTGTTATCAAAGTTTTTTTTTTAATTAAACCGACCACAGATTTGACAAGAAAAGTAAAACATATCACATCTTCCTCAGCAAAATTAGAATAATTACATTTGGTTAAAATTAACTAGAATAAGCCCAACTAGAGACAGAGCACACTAATACAAAATCTCTTTTAGCCCAATTGCAAAATCATTTTAATTAAATTATTCATTTGATAAAAAACAGGAATATAGTAAAATTATTCCCAGGAACGAGACTGCCATAAGGGAATAGTTGGAAAATGTGGCATGGGGTCCAGTGATATTTTTTGGCTCCCAAAATGTCAGAAATTGGCCTATAGTTGGAAAATTATCACCCCTGTATTTTTCACTAGCAACTGTGTTTGGCTGAAACTTACTTGGCTCAAGTGGGCTCTAGTGGAGATCGCTTACTATTCACATTAAATGGAGTGAAAAGATTTGTGCATTGGATATACATTTTACATGACAAATGAGTTAACACAGAGTTAAGCAGTGCATTTTAGATCAAATGCATTCACATTTTTACTTTTGAACAGACAGGTAAAAAAAGACAGGTATGCATGCAGAATATGCATCAGGCATTGGGAAATTGCACAATGTACAAATCAGAGTGAAGTTGTCATGATGGAAAGAAGAGCCAGAGAGAGAGAGAGAGGGCAAGAGAATGGTACTCACGGTTTGAAAATCAGCACATTCAGCAGATCTACTATCACAGCTTGATCGTTCATGTTTACAGCTGAATCCAGCGCAGTCTGAATTTAAAAAAAAAAAGAAAAAAACATGGTTGTGATGAATGAACAAACTCACATATACTAGTTCCTAGTCATCTCATTCTCTCTTTGCATGCCCTGTACTTGCCCCAAAAAATTGTGAAACATCTCTATATTCGAAATAATAATCTAAATGATAATTAAATGGAGAGGCCAGGGGGATGCAAACAATTCCATTTAAAAGGAACTTGCATATGTGGCTCAGTCTTCAATTTCATCCCAAACTGGCACAAATTTTTTTAGATTATTTTCCTTCTTCCTTTCTTCAAGTGCGACAAGCACACATTAAGTGCAATTATAACACTTCATTCATAAATATCTATTGACCTACCAGTAAATCAATTCCTGGTGCACACTTTTTCCTTTTATTACCTACACACTGGATATCTTTAAAACCCACCTTCATGTTCCCCCCTGTCCAGAGAGCTCTCACTATGGACAGATTCTTCGTTCGGCTGCTCATGACAGCCACCATGGCGTCGTGGCCCTTCATTATGGTGGAGATGGCCTCGGCCTCAGACATGTTTGACGGGTACGACTGGCCCTCGTTCACAACAGGTACGCCACGCTTCTGAAAGAATTAATGATCCAAAAATAATTCAAGAATTTGTAAGTATGGATAAGGTCCTGGTTTCCTTTTCTTGAATTTACAAGCTGCACTTTAAGCTCAACACGACTCCTTTTTCTGATTTGACCCAATGTAAAATTAAGCCCATATTGCAATAAATTGACATTTACTTTTTTTTTTTTTATTGCAATAAATTGACATTTACTTTTTTTTTTTTTTCCACTAGCCGAAATATTTAATTCTTCTTCACTTTTGATAGAAAACTTCAACTCTTTTTAGAGCAATAATACTGCATGAAATATTTAGGTTATCCACTTTCAGACCAACTTCCAAATACACTTAGTTAGTAAGCCATCCTAAAATACAGTCTTACTGGTAGAAAATCCTCCACTGCAAGCCCCACAGGTTGCTCCCTCTGGGAAGGTATCACTGTAGAAGCAGGTACAGAAGTGGCTGAGTGGGGAGCTGGTGGTTGTGAATGTGGTTGTTGAGACACTGGTGGAGGAGCAAATTGTGCCGGTTGTGCTGGCTGCTGCTGCTGCCTAGACTGTGTTTGTTGTGACGGTGAAGACTGTGCTGCCCTCTGTGGTGGAACATGAACTGGCTGCTGCCGCGTGTTGTGCTTCACTATGACTGGTGGTGGAGGAATGTCCTTCTCTGGTATCCCTGGGAGAGAGATAGTATCTTCTCATGAATTACACCATTAAAATATCAGTATGTTGTGAAATCTTGTAAACTGTGCCATCAAACAATCTTAAAATCACATTATTTAGTATGTTAGGCACATAAGCATCATGTGACCAAATGTCAACACACACACACACACTTTCATTTAACAGCCCCGAAATCATAACACAAGCACAGACCAAACTCAGTAAAACAGGAAAGAACCCAAAAGCACAGCACAGCACAAAATATGCAAAATTTTGTTTAAATTGCAATGAACATGCAGTCCTAAATATATTACAAAAATTACAAAGCCAACATTGCATTTTAATAATGCATATCAATACAATAAGTTCTTCTTTGGGATTTCCTCAAAAATAAATAAGATAACTACAATAACTGCACACAAATGTTTGTCACTATGATAACAAAATGCCAAAGAAGCTAACTCAAACATTTTCTTTTTCTATGTACACCATGTATACAAACTAGTTCATTCAAGGCTAGAAATTGAAAAAAATTTTACAACATAACATGTACCAAATTATAATCAGCATTTTTTACTATTAATAACATTTCAAAGGATAAATTACCAGGGACCCTATTTGCCAATTTCTCACTGAAAAAAAAAACTGCTTCATTTAGTTAACCTAATTTCCCATGCCGTTTACACAGGTATTTACTATAAAAGTTCCAGATAAAAAGGAGCTGTAAGCCAACAAAGCCCCTGGCCAGTGCATAATTTTTCATGGCAAAGCTTTCAATTAATTTCTAGCCCTGAATCTTTTTTATCTTTTTTTATCTTACCATCATCAGGGGGTGCTGGGAAAGGCTGCGCAGTTGTTGTGGGAGAATGTGCTAAAATGAGGAGTTCAATACAATAACATTAACACACTTCTTCCCACAGAAACTCTATACACATGCAACAGTGAAAATAAAACATTTTAAGATAAAGTTTTAATACATTTACAGGACCATTACAGGGCTTGACATTCAGGGTGGCCCACTGGCCCTGGGCCACTGAAAACCAACCTAGGGCCATTGAATCGATGGGGTCACTGGCCCAAAGAGCAAGTAAAATGTCATGTGTCAAATCATCCTTGCAATATTCACCGATATCTCGGGCCAGTATTGAAAAAAGATAGTGTCAAGCCCTGCATTATTAAAATTTTCTTTTAGCCAAATCAATGTTTTTTTTTTTTCATACATACACTACCCACGGTTTATTCTATCATCTTCAATTGATAGTTTTTGATAGAAGAGGGGAAACAAAACAGATAATCATTGCATTTCTGGACAAAACTCTCACTGGCCTATTTTTCCTGTTGCATAAATAAATGGGATACATGCAAAAATAAATATACGAGTAAACATAATACAGCTTAAAGTAAAACATATGCAAGATACACCCTTTTATTGAAAATTTATAATGAGTTTATCAATATCTTCAAACAAATAGAAGACCAACAACATAAAATCATGGCAAACTTTCCAATCCCTTTAAAATATTTGCAGTCAAACAGGACCTTTGAAAATGGCCCCAGTAAACTCAGTCATGCAATGCTTACTGATTTTATAACTCCCAGCAAATTGAGGGAGTTGATAAAGAGCAGCACAGGCTAACTTATATGCAACAATTATGTATTTTTTTTTTCATCCAATTAGCTGTTCTTTCTTTTTTTTCCTTTAATTTTTTGAATAAATATTGTGTTGGTTAGAATGAAAATCAAATGTGGCTGAGAGCACTTTGCAAGCTTTTTGGCCTTGAAATTATTCATAATAATAAATATATTAATATTTGGCGTGACATGCGAAGAGCTGGCATACCCTGTATTAAAATCACTGTTGCCTAAATAGTCTACTTGGACAACTTCAGAACATATTTCATCCCAAAACTTGATATCATCTACTTACACAAACCATGCCTGGGTTGAAATATTTCCCTGTAGTCATTAGGGTCTTTGATATCAGCTACAGACTGGGCATCATCCTCGGGGTCATCCCCCTGGCCAGCTGGCTCTTGTGGCTCCTCCTTGTATGGGCTAAGTATAATTATACATTTTAAATCTCACATTCAGTAGAACCAAGGTGACTTGAGATGGAGCAATCATTCACCAAATATAAGCAGAAATGATTCAATTTTATTTACTCATTTTCTAATTATAATGATCACTTACTTTGAAACAAATCATTTACGAAACTTCTTGTCACAAGAGCATTATTAGGCTGAATGCCTATAGATCATTGGATATTGGTAGACCTGTTAACTGTTCTCACTTGGGGTAGTAATCTACAACTAGGTCATTCTGGCACTTACACACCAGTTTTACAAATACAATTTTATTACATCAAAGGCTGACACAGGTTCTGAAACACTGTCAAAATTGGATAAGAGATTGTTAATGACAGGCAAATGAGGGCACTTACTTCTGTTGCTTGGTGGACTGTGTCTGTGGACGATCTGTCTGGAAACTCTTCCTTCCACTGAAATATCAACATAAGGCTCTCATCAAAAAGTATGTCATGAGCAGTATGGATATCACAAAATATAACAAATAAACAGAGTGCATGCAAACAAGCATTGGGCAAGTTTATTAATTTACTGGATTTTTGGATTTTTAAATAGCCACAAGTCAAAACTTTTAAGTAAAAGATGATGTCACATTTTATTACTGTGTGAATTTTGGTATCATACCAGTTGATAGTTTTCAAAATATCAAAATTCAAATATTTATCCTTTTCCATTTTTTGAACCGATGCACATTGTTGCACAAACTACCTGAAACATCTGGTTCATTTAATTGTAAGTTGAAATGCAACTCAAAACTAGTAATTATAATGAAAACAAACCAGGAATACTCTATAATGTTGCAGAGCATGACACCTCACCTTGCAGACAGCCTTTGTGCTGGGGGCGCCGCAGGAGCTGCCTGGACTGTAGGGGGCTCTGGTGATGGTTCAGCAGGAACACCACCCATTGGCTGAACTTTCTAGAAAGGAAGTGAGAACATGAGTTTATCTCTGTATCAAATGATTCGCTTCAACTTTTTATATCAAAATACAAAAGCTTGAAGATGTCTATCAAGGATTATTCCAATTATAAGGGAAAATTATTTCATCTGGCAAAATTCCACAGATTTTTTTACATGGATTTAGTGCAACAATGACACAAACAGCTCTATGCTATCATTTTAGGAAAAATTGCACAAGAAGACTCCAAATTTCTAAAAGATTTCTACAGTACAAGTTCTTGATGTTGGTCAACAAATTTCCACAAAACAATCTCAACTTATAAAGTTTGCGTCTTTTATTTCTAAAAACGCTGACTTCCCATTTCCTATAAAAAAAAAGGTTATGGAAGCAGCATTGATGTCTTCGGTGCTGTATGGCTGTGAATCCTGGTTATGTTCAAGTTATAAAACAGCACAGTCGTCCTATCATGCAATTATTAAAACTTTATTAAATGTCAGGCAGAGCACTCCTAATGACTTAATACTAGCCGAATTAGGAATACCCGAACTGAGCGCCAGGGTACGCGCTGCGCAAAGATCCTATATGACTAAGATTCTTCAGACACGATCTGGCATGGAGGATGATCCTTTGATGCATGTGTGGCGGCTTTGTAACGACAAAACGAATTAGAAATTCAACCAGAACTAAATATGCTACATACTGTAAGATGAATCCTAACTTGTCCATACACGACATGTATTCATCATACAGTCTCAGGGAACGGGACAGGATAGCCTGTTCCCGGTTACGGCTAAGTGCTCATAGTTTAGCTATTGAAACGGGGAGATGGTCACACCGCCCCAGAAATATGAGACTGTGTACATGTGGAACTGATGTTCAGACGGAGGAGCATGTAATTTGTTTCTGTCAAAAAACGAAACAGTTAAGAGAAGACTACAATAGGCTAGACTTTTCAGACATTACGTCTTTCTTTAACAATACGGGTGACATTAATACAATGGCTAATTATGCCCATAGATGTTTGATGTTGTCGGAGACGGAAAGGCCGGAGGATTAACTGTAATGTAATTTACTTTTTGTTTTGTTTTGTTTAATATTGTATTCTGCTCGGAGACGGTTAAATAAAGAATCTATCTATCTATCTAAGTGCCTATGTATACCTACCTGTAGATCTACTACATACGTGGACACATTGGTCTGTGAATATAATGCTCCAATCTGAAATCATCAAATGATTTAAGTTAATCACAGGGCACTGTACAATTTCAAACACCATCATGTTTAACCACTAGACTGATTATAACCAAAGACTGAAAAACAAATTGTACAATGGCAATCTATGAATATTTATATTTCTTGGTATAACTTACAATCATACAGCAAATAACACACTTTATTTTCAGCAATACTTCAAATGGCTGGTTTTTCCATTCAAGTTATTCACACAGAAAGATATCGCATTAGTTGAAAGTGGCTGGTGATTAGTTGGTGGCCTTACCAGCTGACTCTGTGCAGTGGCTATGTCGACAACCTTCCCCCAGCCAGTGGCCACGGTGTCATAACAGCGCGCAGGCTCCCAGCCGTAAACCTTCAGTACATCCTGAGTCGCAGCATATAGGCAGAGTCCATCAGGGTGGAAACTTATGGACCTAGAGAGGACAGACATCATGGTTATTAGAGCCTTTCTTGATTGATAAACAGGCAGTGGACTGATTCCTACTCAAAGTATTTAGAATTCTAAATATTAAGATTCAGAACACTGACCTCTAAATACTCAGTTTAAAGTTCTGAAATTAAACAAAATGCCTTAATAGGCCTTGGGATTATTCCACATGTATGACGGGACAAAGCAATATCATTATGTCTAGACTGGGAACATGTTTTTCAATGATAAAAATACATATATTTATGAATATATATCAAATCAAAGTATTTAAATGATAATCATATTGACCATAAAATTCAAACCCTGTAGCTCGACATTACTTCAATATTTTGAACTTTTTAACAATATTCTCTTTTTCAATTCAGTATTTTTGGGCAGGTCAAACCTCAAGTTATCTCACCTGATGCCTCCACACTCTCCATCAGTGGTGCTCACACATTGGAATGTCTCAAGATCCCAGTATTTGGCAGTTCTTGAAAAAAAAATAGTAATAAAATAAATCAATGACTGCATAAAATTCCTTAAAAATTCATTCAACAATTGATGAAGTTCCTAAAAAACTTATCACATATCCATTCTAAATAAATAAATAAATAAATAACGCTTTGATTTCCTACCTGTCTGAACTCCCAGATGCAAGAAGGAATTCGTTTGGATGGAATTCTAAGCTGTTGACTGGCCCTGTGTGGTCATTTAACTCTGTGAGTAATTTACCAGCAGTCAGATCCCACAGCTGAAACATGAAAGACAAATGTAGCTACAGGATAAAATATGTAACTGAAATACACAAAAGACAAAACTGTGCATGTGTGTGTGTGTGTGCATGCATGTGTGTGCTTGTGCATTTGCGTGTGTATTCATCATATCTCAATATCAGGCATTCAAAAAAATGAATTAGTTTATTTACATGAATTTAAAAGCACCCCCCCCCCCCCCACCCACATACACATTCACACACACAACTAAAGAATAAGATTTAAAAACACTCATCTTCTTCAGTGGTCTCAAAATTAATTTGATACTTGACCTCTATTTAAAGAATTCTTATGTACACCTAAGGACCAAAAGGAGTCATTCCCCTATATGAAGCATTACCTTCACACTTCCATCCTCCCCGGCAGAGGCTATCCATCTCCCATCTGGACTAAACCTCAAACAGTTAACGCAGTTAGTATGACCCTTGAGTAAAAAATACATAATAAATTACATATCACTTCCTATATTTTCTTTTAAGCTAATCAAAAGCTAAAAGGCATTTTGTAATTTGAGTTAAAACTGTGATATAAAGATTCTATCTTTGAACAGCCATTTTGTAATTTTTTTAAACAAAAAGTTACTTTTCAAGATCATACCTCTGACAACTACTTTTTCCATTAAAAAATTCTTAGAATAAATAATATCAAAACTGAAACGAATCAGTCAAATTGACTAGACCTTTTTCTTGTGTGAATTTCTATATATTCCCTAACACCCTCTGTAGAACACATACCTTGTAAGTAAATATGCAGCCCTTTCTTTTGATATCCCACAACTAAAAAGTAATAAAAATATCTAAATGATTGAAGTTTTTCTTTGTCACCGTCGTCACCATAAAAAAGGATCATTGCAGATAATTGTTTTTAAGATATTTCTATCACTGAAAGATAAGCTTATTTTTTTCCATATGGTTTAAATCAAGTTAACTTTTTTCTGAAAAAATTATACTCTCTCTCACAGACATTGCAACACACAAATGCAGTAGACTCCACATCACTTATGCCCCCTTAACTCAAATTATTGTTTATTTCCAACAAATCTCAAGGAACAGATCATTTCCTTTAGTATTAGCTGAAACTCCCCCCACCTTTATGTTGGTATCTAGAGAACCCGAGGCCACGAAGTCTCCATATGGGTGGAAGTCCAGGCTGCGTAAGTTGGCCTTGTGCCCTGTCAGTGTACGCACAACTGGAAATGGAATAGAAAAAGCAATTACGTTGACGGTTGTAACTGTATTGTTACTGTAATGCATTCTTTTTGTCAAATTACATCTATATTGTAATGATTTGTTGTTTTTGTTATATTGTTACTGTGTTATGTTATACTGTTTTATGGTTTATTGTTTCTAGAATGTTCTATTCTAATGCTGTAATGTTATGCTGTATTGTATTTGTTATGTTATTGTAATGCACCACTACTGTATGAATCATACTATATTTCAGAATAATCACACTAGTATTTAGAAATGTTCTAAAATACAGTGAGACGAAGATAAAAAGGCAAGGTGGCTATTACAGGTAATCAAAGGTGTCTAAAATCACCAACACCACCATCATCAGGCCTGGTTTGACAATTGACCATTGTGACATTACCACCTATCCCAGCCCTGAGGTGCCTGTATCTCCGCTTTCATCAACTTAATAACCCAGCCCCTTATCGCACATTAATCACACCACAAACTGCCCTTGGTCACTCACACAAATCGTGCCCTTAGCTACTGGTCAGTAACATTGCAGATGTAACTCGATCAAAACCCAAGCTGCCGATGTATTAAGGATTCATTAAGGCTGTCTTTATTGAACTGCATGTCAAATCAGCCAAAGTCCCACACCAGACACCAGTTATTATTGTCCAGGCCACTGGGTTAATTACAGTTACCGTTAATGGTCAATGAGTGATTTTGAACAACACCCTTGCCTCTACTGGCAAGTACTTAGTAAGTGCCCCCTTTTTTTTTCACTTGTTGCCCCCTTGAGATGTTGCAAAAAAAAAAAAAAAAAAAAAATGTCCCTTAATCAAAAGCTGATAGACTTTTTAATCAAATTTCTTTGAAACACCAAAAGTTCAAAGATAAAATTAAATTTAAATATATTTTCTGCCTTCCTGAAAAAGACAGACTTTTTTCATTGGGTTAAACACAAGAACAACACCCTATGGAGTGGGTTCTAAATTTCAGTACTTTCTACTAAAATATTCACTAAGAAACACATTTTCCCCAAAATTCTTCTCCTCTCTGTCAAGGCAGGATTAAACAATAATTGCAAACACAGCAAGTTTTTGAGCTAAAAAAAGAAAGAAAGAAATACCGGCTATAATGGGTACAAAATACAATCTTTTTTTTTTTTTTACTCATATACAACATAGCAACAATACTGGCAACACCATAACAAACAAACTGCAACATGCACGGATTTCAAAAATCAAAGAGGAAGCTATGAATAGTGATATGGGGTACATTCCCAAAAGAGAAGTATACAATTTCAGTCTGTATTACAAATGCTAAAAGGGCCTGACCTAAAAATTCCAAAATCAGTTGGTGATTTAAATCTGCACTATTAAGATACAAGTTCCAGCTGAGCTTGAGGTGGTTTTGCAGAGAATAACCTCCCAAATGCACTCTATTCAATATATCATATTGACAGATTAGAATACAGTGTTCCTATATATAAAAGTCAAACTTACAATGTCAATTGAACTTGTAGCCAACAATAGCACACACTCAAAGAATTCTGACCACAAGGATTCATCATGCTCGAACCCTGTCACATCAAAGAGCTAATGTTTGACTGCTACACTCACTTTTTGCTGCCTCCAAGTCCCATATTTTGAGAGCCCCTGACATGGACCCCGCGGCTACCATTTCTTCTGAGTTGCCAAATCGGACTGCTTCTATGGCACTTGTATGTCCAGAAAGGCTCTGAATAGAGAAAATTTGGTAAAATAGAGAGAATATATACAAAATGACATGTTCAGTGTGTGTGTGTGTGTGTGTGTGTGTGTGTGTGTGTGTGTGAGGGGGGAGGGGGAGAGGGGGGAGGAGGCAAGGGAGGCGATGTCTAAATTAAAGTAATGTAGCACTGGGGACCATTAGTCCAAAGCCTGCAGTAAAGAACAAGAAAAGAAAATTCATAAATGAGATCTTTAATGCCAGGGTAGGCCTGAATGAGAATCATAACATTTTTCTTACAGCTTCTCAATTATCAAATATCAAATTGATGAGGGGCCCTGTAACTCGAAAGCATCGTGTATTGCAAATTGCGATATCACATAGAAGCTACAATGTATTATACTGGGCGAGTATGGGCGAGATATGGAATGGAGATGCTTCTGCTCGGTCACAGTGCGCGATGCTTTCGAGTTACAGGGCCCAGGTAATTAGTCTTAGGCAGGTAATAACATTACATAATGTCCACAGGTTGCTGGCAGACTGTTTACAGTTGTTTTTATCAGCTGAAATGTTTATGTAGGTAGGTGATAAAAAAGAGCAAACAGAGCCAAACTGAGATATCAAAAGTTTAGGATTAAATCTACGTCTGTACCTAGAAGTAAAAGAGCTCTCTACTTGTTTGTCGTACTAATAAGTTTTAAAGAGATAATATCTCAAGTGCTTGCTCAAAAGCTGCTACTCCGAGCATAATACACTAAACCAGAAGTGAAAGGCTTAAGGGCAATAAACTGTACCAAAAGCACTGCAGACATATACCAGCCCTAACAGATAAACCAATCGTAAAATTTTACCTGCTAACAAGAGGTCAGAGAAAAAATCCAAAAACAACAACACTATAACAAAGATGGCACACTTCCAAAATGAGCATTTTCTTTTAAAAAGAAAAACTTCCAATTCATCAACATCATGAAAATTAAAGTCAACCCCACTGGCAAGAAGTGCCGTTTCTGGGAGACGACCAAATATTTTGGATAGTTACAAGGTCAGGGGCGTGTCACTTGGATTTTATTCAGACTGAATCACAGTTAATTTTTTTACAACCTGAAGAGAAATAAATATTTTAATGTTGAACAATATCTCAATTGTTTTTTAAGAATTATAAATAATGTTAAGAGAAGTCCAAAATACCTCATAATACTGCCTGCAGAACAAAAATACTTGCATCCTCCCTCTTCACCCCTCCTCTCTCTCTCTCTTTCTCTCTCTCTCTCTGTCCCTCCCTCCCTTCCACTCTTCCCTTCACTCTCCCCTCTCTCTCTCTCTCTTTCCAAAATCCTCTTAGTCCACACTTACCATGATACAGTTTGGTTTTCCTACAGCCCACATGTTGACTTTCTTGTCTTCCCCTCCTGTCACCATCACGCGGCCAGACTTGTGGCCCAGGGCCAGGCAATTCACATTGCTTCCGTGGGCCACAAACTCCTCTGAAACATACAAATATTTACAGCTGAAATGAACCCTCTTATTTTATTTTTATATTTTTGAGGGGGAGGGCATCATTGTTTTTATGTTGCACATTTATAAAGTAATGTTAGTAACAGTGCCCTGCTCCTCTTCAACTTAACTGTAAAAACAATTTTGTTTAAACATGCATGCCTATGATATTGCCCCTTAATTACTGGTCTATTAGTACCCATACATGTTAATCCATTTGTTATTTTCAAAGTATTATAGGGGCAGCACACAGCAGTGAATCCAGCCATTTTCTTTTCAGATAACTTTTCAGATCTACTACTCAAACATATACTAGTCCCTTTCTTCATAAGTAAGGATACTATACTCCCTTGCTAAAAATTATAATAAAAGGATGTAAACCTGGCTATGGCCAAGCAAACAAAATGTTGTCTAAGAATTAATAATAAGACTAAAAGCATACTTTAAATTTCAACAGTTTAACGGTGAGAACACCAGGTATTTTTTTTTCTGTTTATTTTTTTTTATTATTATTTTATTTTTTATTTATTTATTTATTTTTGGTCCTGGTAAAAAAAAAAAGAAAGCTATTTAACAATTATCTCAGGTAATTGTGTCATTACAAGAGGGAGTGGAACAAAAGCTGTCACATTCACACACACTCAAAGACAGCTATTGTGTTTGCATACTGTGACATAATACCTTCTACTTGATGCTCTGTAAATACTTAATATCAGCATTTTAGATTTCTGGGTGGCATGAGTCCGCTTGAATGATACGAAGAACTTAAACTATGAGTAAATTCTCTTCATAATATTTAATTGTGTGTGTGTGTGTGTGTGTGTGCACGCGCGCGTGCGTGTGTGTGTGTGTGTGTGAGAGAGAGAGAGAGAGAGAAGGGGGGGGGAGTGCTGGCTGGTGAAGTATTTCAATTCTTTACCCATCAACATCCATGTCTGAAAAATTGAAACCTGAAGATTTTTTTGGACTAGACTTACCTAAGTGACTACAACGCAGATCACGAACCACCAATTCTCCCATTGTCTCACTCTCTAAACAGTATCAAAACTGCACTATGATCTCAAGACTTGCACAATTAACAACTGTATTTCAATAAATCTTGTTGTGGTAAAAGTTCAAAAAACACAAACAAGGTGGAGTCCTTCCTTTTATGCAATTCTTCGGACAGTTTACTGGCTCCCCAATGCCAGTCCACCCAAAACATTTCCTGTGCTAAAGCTCTCTAGTTCTGTAGGTCTTTCAATCTAATGATTGTCAATGGCAAAATCTACATCTGACACATGACAAAAAAATTTCCATTCCTTTCCAAGGAAAAAATTAGTTGTAATGTTCCCAGTACAAATTAACAAACAGTCTGTCCACATGATTTTGTATTTTTTCATCCTTCGTGAGCATTTACTAGTAATATTGTTCCTAACACTGTAAATGTTTCTGGATGTAATGTTCAATGAACGTCCCACATAAAGAAATCTTACCAATGCTGTGACAAATGTTACAACTCTGAGGCAGTCTGACACTTTCTAACAGTCCCTGCTAGCAGTTTTTCTGACTGGCAGCACATAGTATTCATCTCATACACATGTGAATTCAAGTAATCCATATTCACTAGGAAGCTGACATGATTTTAGACATCACACACAAAATACACCACCTTGGTCATAGTGTTACACACATGATCAAACACTAGGAGTACTGCTACATAAAAATCTAGGTCCATGGTAGTGAAAAACAGACCTAAGTCACATATTTCTATATCTCTCTATGTCTTATCCACCACCTGTGGTATATTATATATAAATTGACATATATCCATGATATTTGCAGGTGTCCTATGGAAAGCGCCTGTTTCTGTCACGCATTCACAACAGCCTCCTTGTCTTTGCCAGTCGTGTGCTACATGACAAATAAGTTGTCTTCTTTTATAAGTACAAGTAAAAGTTCAAGCAAGTCAGCGTCGCAAAAATGATGCATGCCCAGGGCTCTTCTTAGACCTTGTTTAAGGTTGGAATACTAGACAAAAGTATTTTTTCATACACCTCAATTTTTTAAAACCCTGACTCAGTCCTAAGCAGCAGTAGTCATGACACTATCAATAATTCCACTCTTTACAACATGGTGACAGAAGTACAGTTGTTTCTGCCTCACAAATCAAAAGTGTAGCATCTTGTTTTACAAATATTGACATCATAATCCTGTGGAATATAACAGCTCTACCCTTGTATTCCCTACTAAAGTAGCATAGCACTGGGTCTTATTTCTCAGTACACGTACAGCATCCTACCCTTTAAATCCAGGTATAATACCAAGCTCTAACAATCTAAAAAATATATATGCTTTTTCCTATCTTCATGCTCCTGCTAAACAGACTGATATAGGACCACAGCAACCCAACTATATGGGCCCAGAACACTCAATGTCTAATTACTTAAAGACCATGATAAATGGCCCCTCTACTGTAGGCGCATGTAGTGCCCTAAAAGGCAACTTTATTTATTCACTTGACGTGTCATTGGTCTGGTTAATCAACCAGAGGTCAGAGGTCACCAGCTGCTGCTAAGTTGACATTCTGTTGGTATGACAGGATCTACTGCATGAACTGCATAAGTAATGAGTCAAATGCATAATGAGCATTTGGGTTGCCATTGGTAACTGGGTGCCTTGAGATATTTCTTCATGAAACTTGCATGCAGTGACATGTCAGTGAAAAGACATGTAATTTTGCTTCTACTAAATCGAACTGCTGAGATTGCTTTTGACATTTTGCTAAAAACCAAGTACTGAAGAAGGTCAATTGTGGGCGTTTCAAAGATGTGCTGTTTGTGTTATAGCATGCAATATCTCACTGTTACAAAGGAAAAGTCAAATATGGCATAGGAAGCCAAACCAAGTTAGCAAGGCCTTCGTTGTTATGTGTTTCTGAAAATGGAAAGCTGGTCTTAGCTCTAGTATTAGACAAAATCAGTTGCCAATATATATATTCTATCAATTATTTGATACCAGTATATTGACATATCAAGATATAAAATATGTAACCAAGACTGCATTCCCATAGATTTAGATTGATTCATCTAGATCGACCTAACTCCCTGGGGGTTCACGCTAACTTGATCAAAGTCAGCCGAGCGCGCACGGTAGTTAATTACCCCCTTACAGCTTTTGTTTTGGTAGGCGAGACAGACATTTAAGCGGCTAAGCTGACAGTTATCTAGTGAGACTCCCCACAGGGATAGATCAATCTAAAATTTGTGGGAATGGGGTCCAAGATTCTGCCATATATCAATTTTTCATTTATTTTACATTAATCTAGTTCAAAGACAGTTAAGGCTTAATGATCTGCACAAGAAAACCAATAAAAGAGTGCCAACAGGAGTCCACAAAGGTAAATCAAGGTGAAACATTTCCCCAGTTACAACATATCTATCAAAGTTCTGCTATAAATTTATAAAAATGGCATCAAAACAGTGAACAAGAAATAAACAGAGTCAAGTTATCAAACTTGTGGTGCAACACTGAGAGTTATCATTTCACCAAAACCTGACTTAGATACAATGTCAGACAGCTATCAATGCATGTTGTCTTGTATTTCAATCATTTGTCAAACTATCTCTTGATAGCACTATGCATTTAATCTAATGGGTGGATAGGATAATACATGCTTGCATGTCACGAACCACGATAACAGGAATTTTTAATTTTTTTTCCCTATGATGTCCTAGAATGTACACACATTGCATTCAATCGGGACTTATTTGTCAGGTTTCAAGACAGATGTCTTCAGGAGTATGTCACCAACAATTAGTGCCTAATTCAGAATAATTGCTGTCACAATTGTTTAGTGTCATTTATGTTCAACGAATTATATATCACTGACAATTGTGTGTCATTGGTCAGTTCAAAGACCAACACAGGAATTGGGCTATGCTCAATAAGGGGTAGGAATGATGATCATGTCTGCACATTGAAAATTAACATAAGCGAAAGGAGAATGGTATTTTAATAATATACCTTATTCAGTTTCAGACCCCCTTGATGTAAAAACTAATTTATATTTTAGCACAATTATCATTCACAGAATAAGATTTCACTCTATGATAAAATTACAAATGTTTAAAACCTTTAGCCAAATGAAACAATGATTATTTGACAAAAAATGCCTTTGAAAAAATTAAGTTTACTTTTTGTTTAAAATTTAAGTCACCAAGGTGAATCCTGATATTATCTAATCAAGGCAGTAAATCATTTAGCAAAAACAAAAATTATGCAAAAAAAAAAAATGAAAAAAAAAAAAACTTTCATTGTGGGAAGTGAGCCACCATGAAGTGTCTGTTAGTATAGGTGGATATTTTACTAACTGAAAACTGACATTAATACAAATATGTTCCTGTTTATAATATGTGACCAGGTCTCTGCTCAAAATTTGTCTCAGTTTTAAAAGCTTTTCTACCTTACATGCTACGTCATTTGGACGTCCACCAGCATCACTGGACAGCCTATTTTCAAAGACGGGTACAAAGCTTATGAATTTTTTTTTTTTTTTTTTGAAAAATGACAACTTTGACTCCCTGAAATTTTGTAGGAAACTAGAGGATCAGAGANAACTCCAACTAAATCTATTTTTGACAGTAATGTCGATGTTTCTAATATCGTCTGTTCCCCTCTCCGCGAAATCCATTTAGTTTGGTTTAGTTCAAAATTCCGCGCACGCGGTGTCAAAACTTTCCACATGGGTGCCGACATTAAAGCCTACATTTCCAACCAATCAAGCGCCATAAATAAATCACGTGCTACGGTTGTGACTAGATATTGTGTTGAAACGCAGCTCTGTCGCAATGGTTGAAATGCGACGTTCCTCTGACGCATCGTTCGTCCAGTCCGCGACCACGTTAAAAACGAGAATTCCGGAACAAAATATAGTACCAGAAAATTTTATAACTGGACGCAAAAAACCGGAATTCCGGTAAAAACCGGAAGACTAGCATCCCTGCAAATATTTTTTTACAGAAAATTCCCATTTTTAGAAAATTTTGGCTTGTTTGACCTTGAAAAAAAGGTCAAAAGTCAAATCCAAGGGCATATTTGGAATCTCCACATATGACTTTCGGTCAGACTTCTGTAGTAATTTTTCCCATAATTCCTTTGGTTTGGGAGATATTAAGCATTGAATTTTCAAAAATTTTGACAAGGGTGCATTTCAACAAGCGTCATGCCCAGGCCAGTGCACCGATGGAGACAAAAAAACCAGGGTGTTCAAGTTGAAATTATATGTGACCTAAATCCAAGAGATGGGGACACAGGTCCTTGCGGTCTAGGAGGAGAAGCGGTAACGGTGACTTGTTTCCGGCGCCCGACTGCGGAGCCGCAGGAGCCGGCGGAGCCGCAGGAGCCGGCGGAGCTGTACGAGACGGGTCGGGACTAAAACCATGAGTACCGCCAGCGTACACGCTGGTGGTACTAATTACAGGTTGTTACATTATGGACCGCCTGTACACCCAATCCTGAGAAAAACACTGTTTACAATATAACTATTGTTGAATGTTACGAAAAAAGTACAGAATGCATATTTTCTTTTTCAAGAGTTAAAATTGCTACTTTGGTTTGAACGCCCAGCTTTTTCTTGGATAAAAATGAACTGATTTTCACATTCCCTTCAGTCTTGGTATCGGTCCAGTATTTTCAAGATATAATTCTTGGTATGACAGATCATATACTTTGTATTCTTATGCCCCAGTATGAAAAAGAACTGTTTTAATCAGCTGTTGCTTTTGATGTTACCATGTATTAGTAGTACATGGCATCAGTTAGGGAGGGAGGGTGATTTACATGTATAATCGGTTGCTGTTCATTTCAAATGACTAATTCATAGAGCTAAAACACAAATTGACAACATTATGATTAGCGGCAATCGTGACCACTATTAATGGAAAGCTGTGTAATTACACCTTAACACTTAGGATAATAAATATCAGTAAGGTACATTTTTGTAAAATTTGAAAGAATGTCACTTACGAAGCTTCCATGATCTTTTGGTGGCTGCCGCCATTTTCGTAAACTTATATCATTCAACCAGGTAATGACATCAATTTTCCTGTAAAATCAGGGACATAAATTGCATATCTTCTCCAGTGAAATACGTCTACAGCCAATGTCTAGCCCTGTATTGCTGCTTTTAGAGTGAAGTTAGAATTAAATTTCAAATAAATGTCAACTTTCTTAGGGCAAAGTTTGAATGTTTTCACCGCATTGAAATTCTATAACTCCGGACCAAATGAAAAGTTATGTACCATTGGTTAAAATGTTTTGTTTTCGTGTAAAGCACTGTTTTACCAAATGAGATTAATTGAAGCGCTCTAATACTAGTCACAACTGTTATTTAGCTAAATATTAATAATTTCTTTATTGGTTTGGAATATCATATCTCCACCCCGGTGAATTGGATCGTTACTTCCGGTATAAACAGATCTCTGACCCAAAACCATGTTCAGAAAAGTAAGCACCCTAAGACAAACTGTGGGTTGCGCTTTAAGAATTAATGCCATCAGAAATGTGCACTACGAGCAAGGACAGTCCCCAGAGCCCAAAATTAGAGAATATTTCTACTACATAGACCACCAGGGACAGGTTTGTAGCAAACTATATCGCGTTAACTGTTGTATAATCACAGTCACAGTTTGCGTAACATACTCTCGGCTGTAAGTTGCATCGGTGGCGTAAGGGCGTGGGGGTCGGGCGCTTAACGTAAATGACCCCCCGCCCGGCAATCACCCCCCCCCCCCCTTTTGGGGTCCTTTAAAAGGTAGAAATGGAACGAAATGGATCAAGATAGACCTCTTGCTACTCATAACAAACCTCATTGAAATCGCATTTGGGTTCTACTGTACAAAGTAAAAGTAAACCTACTATTATCCACCTCGCCTTTTCTTTAAATTTGGTTCTACATGGATCCTGCAGACTGTGTATGTGGATTTTATTAAATTTGATAGTAAAATTATTAGTAATGTTGATTTTATGTTAAATGTGAATATTATTCCATGGTAATATGATGAGGTATACGGTACACATGTACTGAGTACCAGTATAGAATAGGGTGGTGTATTACATGTTTCTTAGACCCCATTTCCAGAGATTAGATCGATCTACTTTAGATTGACCTAACTCCCTGGAGGTTCACGCTAAATAGCTAAATAGCTGTCGTGCGGACACGAAAGTTAATTACCCCCTTACAGCTTGTAGTAGGCGGGACGGACATATAAGCCGGATTATCTGAAAGTAATCTAGTGAGACTCCCCGCGGGGATAGATCAATCTAAAAGCTCTGGGAATACAGCCTTAGATGTATCAGCCAATCAAGATGACAGCCACTCATGTTAAATAGACATCACTATTTTCCACCATTTTTCAGGATATTTCATTTATAATTCATTGTGGATTTGTATCAAATATTGTAGTTATGATAGTTACATTTTGCACTTACTATAAAGCATACTAAAATCATTTATGTCCCTTTTCAGCTATTTCTAGATGATGCAAAAATGAAGAACTTCACCTCCTGTTTTAAAGGTACGTAGTTTTGACTCAACCAATGTTTTTTTTTTACATTGCTTTCAAAATGAGAGTATTATAATCAAATTGTCATGATTATCAGAAGGTCCAAATTTAGCAAGAATCAGAGAGCTTATTCAGTGATTTTATTGTCTAATTTTGAAGGTGAATTTTTGAAACAAAATATTCACTCTGTTGTTCAATTTTATTTTATTTCAATTTTGTATTTATTATTTATTTTTATTATTTTATATTATATTTCAATTTTATTTCTGTATTTTATAGAAAAAGACTTCCTACAGTTCTTCTTCAAAAGGGTCAAGTTCAACAATACAGGGCGATATGAAGAAGATTTCCCGTATGTCTCACCCTGTGGTAGAGAGAGGAATTACATTCGCTGTGATGACCTCCCTATTGTATTCACACAGATCTTGGAAACTGCTGATGGAGAACCAGATCTTCTATCATGCAATCACACAGGAGACAAACTCACATTGACCTTTGACCCAGAAAAAGTCTGTATGTTACCAGAGACGGGACGGATATATCATCCAGCTAGTGATCGAGTTGGCGGAGTTGGTTTGATAAAATCAGCCCTTGCAATAGAACTGAGTAAATATTTTGAGTTTAGTCCTGATAAAGAGTTTGAACCACCTGTATATTTTACATGGAAAGGTCACAGATACTCTCTGACTAATGAACTGATACCTTCCTTGAAGAAAATGGACAAATTCAAGTCACCAGCTTATGTGCCAGAAATATAACTGACAAATTCTGAATTTGTGAATGAATTAATTATTTACTGTAGAAAAACATTACGGGTCTGTTAGATGCTGAAAAGCATGAAATTGGTCCACCATCAGGAACTGTTTTATGTTTGTGCTCTAAATCATTAACAGGGGAAGATGGAAAATACATTTTTACTGAGATTTGGCTTTCCTTTTCAGAAATATGTCAATTGTCAGAGAATCTTATATTTAAATGAAATGTATAAATGTGTTGAGTAATTTGAAAAAAAAAACAACAGACAACTCTGATTTAAGATTATTTATTTATTTATTAAAGTGATTTTATTTATTATTATTTTTTTCATTTCATTAAAGGCAAAGGTTTTATTAATTGAAGTTTTTGTTGTTATGTGATTAATTGAAATGTTATGCAAAAACATTAACCCATCACAAATGCATGTTTTATCAAACCTTTGTACAAAACACATTTGATAATTAAGAGTTTACAGTAGAATTGACTTCTTATATGTATCTATCTTGTGAATGGTGACAGTTGTGTGTAAAATTGCACACTCAAAGTTACTTTTTTGCTATCAAAGTAACATCTATAAATATGAATGAAATATGGGATCGTTTCCAAAATGCATAATCTGCCATTCTGTATAAGAACCCGTCATCCTTGGTGTAATTCCGGACGTCAGCCTCACCCTCGTGACTCAAATGTGTAGATTGCATTTGGTGAGATTGGGTGCCATTGTGTTAGTTGAGATTGGATAGCAGTGCGTTAGATGAGATTGGATACCGTTGCTGTCAGAGGGTGACCAACAATACGAATTGATCCCAACTAAAAGAAACATTGAATACCATGTTCAAGAACTTGTCAGTCAGTCAGTCAAGTCAGTCCAGAGGAGGGGGGGGGGGGGGGGGAGGTTCAAAAGTGTATTCTTGAAAAATGGGCACAAAATTGACACTTGAACTCGTTTATCGGTGATATTTTGTCTAGTGGAAGTTAATGTTAAATTAAGGCAAAGTATCGAAAACACGACTTAATTTGCTCTAGAGTATTTTGCACCAATGAACCGTCAGGTTTAACCTTGAAATCCAATTAAGACGTGTGACAAAATTGTGTATCGGAAATTGTAAGATAAAGAATAAAATCCAATTTGAGGAACATATACTTTCACAGCCCTCACGCCACGCGGGGACGGACGTTCAATTTCCTTATTCATTTTTAAATGGTTGGTATAATATTCAGAACAAAATATAATGCGTATAATGCGAACTATACATTTGTTCGCCCTTGGCTATCATATCGAACGTTGCTTTGACAAGGTATTTTATTTGTTGTTTCACCTTCACGTTTATTCTTGCGACGGGCGTCGTTGTATAAAGGCGAACCCAGTTCAGGTTTCTTTGCGCTATTGATTGTGTTTTGAGGGTAGCTTTTAATCATCCAGAGAAAACCAGCGACTGAACCTGCTTGTTTGGAAAAGAAACCAACCTGATAGAGTGTAGTTTTTAAAAAGCATTTGCTATAGATCTCAGCATATACTACTAGTATCTGTGCGCACCTCTACTGGTTTGTGTGTAACAGAAACTGTGGGACATAAAGAACAGCTTAGAAGGACGCAGAGAGCGAGCTTGATGTGAGTCTTCTTCACCCAAGGATTTTACAGTTTCTTTCATAAAAGTACGTAGAAATAGTCACGACAAGCGATAATCAAATATAATATAAGATCTATCAGATGAAGTAGAACCATATTTAAAACGTGAATCTTTAAATTGACGAGAGCACCTGAATCATGCAACAGATGGTAAAACGGAAGGTCGATTGAATTATGTATTGGTACTTGTATACTACAACATATGATTCCACCGACCTATGTGTTTGACTTTTATCCTTAAATTTTCAATTTATAAATTTTTGTATTTATGATTATCTTTGAAAGGATGGTGGTTATAAGCAAATTCGCTTTTAGTTCTTCTATCCTTCGAGATCTGTCTATGGTAGAGTCATGTCTTTGAAATTGATACTCACGAACGACTTGGACCTTAGAACTGACAATATTGTTCATCCTACTTTATGTGGTGACATTTTACACATACGATTACTTAACTGGGACATGGAAGGACAGCCCATATGTGAATGTGTGCACGTTTTAATTGCCATGTTATTGTCGTTGGTCTGTGATGACTTGGGCTTACCAGCTATTCTCAGTTATGGAAATAATCTAATCTAAATGACCACATTTTGACAAAGTGCCAACACATATTTTGATATGACCAAAAGAATCAAAACCAAGAATTGGAACTGCTTTATTGTTTTCACTTTTACTGGTGCTGAACAAGAATAGTTAAATAATATATTTTCAGCGTTTTCAGAAGACAAAATGTATTATTGTAAAAACTAGAAAGCACTCCGAGAGTGCAGACCTCCGCCAAGGCAGCGATTTTTTATTATTATTGATTATTGATTGATTGTTGATCCGGATCACCACCAAATACTAATCATCTCTTCCTTGGCCCACTTCTGACAGTTCCTGAAAATTTCATCAAAATCGGTCCATAACTTTTTGAGTTATGTTGATGGCAAACAAACAAACAAACAAACAGACAAACAGGGGTGAAAACATAACCTCCTTGGCGGAGGTAAAAATGTTACATGTCATGAAACCATTTCATACTGTGATGCACGTCTTTATAAAATTTCCCAGTTCAACCTAAAAGCATTCCATTGTGGCAATAAAGCACCAGCTCTAAATGAGAAGTTTCATTATTTATGAAACAAAGCCACAATGCAATATTACTTAGCACGATGGGAAATAAACAGAATAAACGATGTGACATCACGTCATGTAAGACAACAGCTCATTATCAATAAGTGATTTTTGTTGCTATCTATTAAAAACATTTTCAATAGCTAATATCTCTGTGTACACGCTTATATGATACACCACAACCCCGAAAAACAGGCACACGAATAAATGAACACTATTTTATAGCTGCTTAGACAAAATGGACGGAAATAAAGATTGCTGAATGCCTCATGTTGCAAATGTCTCGCTTGTGAAGTGGGAGCGATGCTAGTTCCAGAACACAACGGTCTTGCTGACATCCTTGGTCACCTTGAACGCTGTTTAAGCATGATTTTCATTGGAAGATGTTTAGTTTCTAACCCTCCCCTCTTACTGTTGAAACAATGTGAAAAAACACATTTTAAATCAAAAGTTTGCTTCCCATCACAGAAAATAAGGTGGGGCTAAATTTCAAAATTCTGTGTCTCTTTTTACATGTAGGGTCTAGTTCATATGTCCTATTAGCAGCCTTGGTATATAGAAATGACTCATGTGTGGTACGCAATTCAGTAACAATTCAGTATCTTTTTTGTAGAGTCGCCTGCGTTAAATCGGTAATCGATTTCCCTATAGAGAAAGGAAATAATTACTAGTCCAATACTGTTGACTTCAAAACATCCCATGCCATTGACAATTTGTATGTCTTTTGCTTTTTGGAGTGGACTTTGTTAGACTAGTGGTCGATTTCATAAAGTGATGGGATTGGTAATTGATTGCAACATCTACGTTCATATTCAGTGTCACTAAAGCGACCTGGAACATACAGTACGTCACTGTTTTGTAAATCTGCCTACGGCAACTATCAGCTGCATACTCCAGCCTGACAAGCTTTTGCCTGTCAAACGTTTCGACAAGAACAGTTTGTCATTTCAGCCTACTTATAACTGCGTATATATTTTTCTGTATTTGCAGTTTTCGAACTTGTGACAATTGTAAACCATGGAAACCACTTCATCTCATCATGGCAAAGAGGGGATTGCTTCTAGCAACGACATGCTTGTAGCAAAGATGCCGACTGCGTCGCCGAGTAAATCTTTCAGCCGGGCAGACGATAACAAAATTATCATTGATGTAGGTGGGGTAGTGTTCTCTTTGTCGCGAACAGCCATCTTGGATTCCCGTCACTCGGACTCATCCTTGTCAAGGGCGGTGTTAAACGGAACTCATTTCAATCCAACCACAAGACAGTATAGCTTTGATCGTAACCCAGAGGTTTTTGGCTATGTCGCTGACTATATCCGCACTGGTGAACTGCACGCGCCACATGGGATGTGCGGAGAGATGGTGTGGAGGGAACTGGAATACTGGGGTATTCCCAGGGAGGCCATGTCGCCGTGCTGCAGCCATAAACTGGGGAAATATTCCCGTAAACTAGAAGAAAAGGAAGCTATTGAAAAAGAGTTTAGTCGACGATGCGTCGATGACGTATGGCCGGTTGATGGAGAGGAAACTCGAGGATGTTGCTGCTCCAACAGAACGAAAAGAAAGCTGTGGATATTCTTGAATGAGCCAAGATCTAGCAAAGGGGCTTTGGTACGGTTGCTCTCTATACTTAACTCTTCCATATACATTTTTCCCATTTTCAGTCATTTGCATGGCAATGAGGTATATTTTTAATAAAATATATGTGGAAATAGACGTTGCTAAGATTAAGCCTACATGCCTGTATGTTTTAACCCTGATTTTCCTTATAAGCACTGCATTATTGGTATTGGTGTTGAAAAAACACTGGTTTCTAAATTTTGTCTGAATTGGTGGCACATCAGTACACTACCAATATGTGATAATCTAATCAAGATTAAGTCAAAAAATTTCCGTTGCAGTAATTGAATTAAGTATTGTATCAAATGGAGCTTTTTGATGACTTGATATGGTTTAATGAAATTGGTTATGGTGAGTTTACTTTCTCGTTTCAGGTATTTTCTCTGGTGTTATTTTTACTCATCATTTTGAGCATCGTCGTCATGATGATCAACACCTCACTGTCGTTTCGTCAACCGTACACTACAAATGAGACCGTCATGGCGAAGTTGCAGAACTCCATCTCCGCAATGAATATCACCAATGAGAAGATAAGCATGAGGATCACCACTACGGGGCCAACCATCACAGCTGTTTTGGGATATATTTGTGTTGCTTTTTTCACAGTAGAGTTTATTTTACGTCTGATCGCCGAAAGAAACAGATGCGCTTTCTTGCGCTCGACCTATGCTATTTTGGACTTACTCGCACTTATACCTAGCTTCGTCGACACCATAATAAAGGGCATTTTTTTCGGTAGAGCATTGTATGAAAATTATACGTTAATAACACTATTTTGGGTAAGTGAATTATTTTTGGTGTTGCGCATTTTGAGACTATTTAGATTAGCCGAGTATTACGACGGCTTGAGGGTTTTATTGCTCTCTCTGAAAGCCAGTTGGAGGGAACTCGTCCTTTTGGAGGCATTTTTACTGATAGGGATGTCCATATTTGGCTCCTTAGTATATTACGCTGAAATAACGGAAGGAGATGGAGATTTTAGTGAAATTCTGATTGGCTGCTGGTGGGCCGTTATCACCATGACAACCGTTGGCTATGGGGACACTCATCCAAAATTCCCAGGAGGTTACGTTGTTGGTTATGTGGCAGCGACTTTTGGTGTCATTTTGATGGGCCTACCTATCGCTATCATTGCTAATAATTTCAGCAAATATTACCAGTTCTTGGCTGAAAAAGCAGAAAAGAAGAAAACTGACAAAGCCCAGGCAATACACAACGGCAAAATTCAAGTGAAGGAGTTTCAAACAAAGAAGGATGGTTCGTTTAAACATTCACAAGTGAATCCACAGGATTTTTGATTCCCCTTGTCTAAAGAGAAAACACGTATATAGGAGGATTTATACCACAACGGAGGATGCCTCATGACATCACAGCTAGGGGTTGCTGGCCGGGGGTGGGGGGGGGGGGGGGCGTTAGGCCTGGCCCCGGTTTCACAAAAACAAACATGAGTCAGGTCCCTGGTTAAGAACTTACAGGGATAATAACTCTTCGTATGAGAATTATTTTTCACAATAAAAACATCCTAGTCAACTACCAAGGGAACTGAGTTAAGTTTTTTTATTTTTATTTATTTATTATTTATTTATTTATTTATTTATTTATTTTTGTGAAACTGGGGCCAGTTTTCTTCCGTTTGAGCCGAAACAGACGGTACACACGAACACTGAGGAGTATTTTGCAATGCTGAGTGTGATAAACATGATTCTATGCGTTTCAATGTGCGTCATATTTAAACTTTTAAAATGGTGAAATGACAGGGACTGGATATACCGTTTTTGATTTGAAAGAAGGGCGGTAGTAATTAAAAGTTCACGGGAAGTAAAATCATCAATTCACAAATCACAGTAAATAAAGCTTTATATATATGTCACTGTTAATGCGCGTCAAAAATCCTGACAATCACGAATCACCGGGTACAATGACTTCGTTTTACGTACAGTTGGTAGGACGGAGAATAAAAGAGCCGCATCCACGACTCAAGGGAATGCTGTGCTTAACGAATCACGCTAAATAAAATGAACGTTCCACGCACCTCGGGTAATAAAAATGGCTTTCAAGGGTAACGAAAGAAAGTGAATTTTAAATTTACTGACATAGGGCCTATTTCCAAAATTATGCTCGGAATTATTTGATTTAGTGTCTCTTTTTTTACCAAGACCAGAAAGTTCGAAAGAAGAAAACATGTTGATTGAAAGTGTGACAACATTAAATTACGGGCCATGGTATTTTTTTTACACCTGAAGTTACCGACCTGCTTGTCCCTTAAGGCCTAGGCCTACATATCCCATGTTTATTTAAAAAGGTGTTTTCATAAAAGAAAATAAAAATAATAAAAACAGACACAGTCAATCAAATATCAGTGTATTGACTATGCATGCAGTTGTTCTTTTGATGAAAATGTCACACAAAGACAGTCATACAATAAATTGATTTCACCTTAAATAGGCCCTATAGGTAGGCCCTAGGCCTAAACATAAAAGGGCTAAATAAATACTGGCGTCTTGAGTTCATAGAGACATTCCTTGCGTAAGTTTTGATAAATCTAAAGAATATTTTACATATGACCTTGCCGATACGACTACCTGTGAAAGGATAAAGGCTAATGTGTAGATAACACAATTGCTGTCGTTACAAATTTTGCCGTGCTTAGAACTCAGCTTAAAACAACATTTCATTCTCGTAGAGTAAGAATAAAACTGTTCGCACTTTTTAATTCTCAAAATATTGTCAAATTTTCATTAAAATTGAAATAATGAAAAAGCTAAATTAAAGTTTGTGCATTTTATTTTTAGATATGGGTTAGTAGGCCTAATTGAGGTTCTTTTTTGGGTCCTATCACAGTGGAAAAAATTGTAGACAGGTGGCGCGTCAAGCAAATGGCGACTCCAGTCTACTGCGCGACAGTTTGCGCAACTTCCGTAATCAAAGCATCAAGCATGGCGACCCTCACTCCTAGAAGAAGCGGTTGGCCAGCCGGTAAAACACCCCAAAATGCCTATATGTCGTCTGGATCATTAACACTGGAAAGGACGATAAACCTGTAAGTGTTGGTTGCAAGAGAAGATTCACGTTTTACCGTAAATATATGGCTTGCTGAGCGCGGAAGTGTAATGTTATGGCGCCGGCCGGTGAATACCAGCGTCAATAACAATGAATTTGATGATCATGGCTTAACTTCTTGAGCAATTTTAGACTTAAGATGTGACATTTCAATTTGCGTTTCAATCTCTTTTTGTGACCCTGGTCTTGTATTATTGATAGGGTTCGAAAGTCCAGGTTTCCGCCTACTATAACTACGTATACTATCAATAGAGGTTTTTATTATTATTAAACCATATCCATTGTTAACTTCTCAGTCTTTGTCATCAGTATAATATAATGATAACATACAATAATACACACATTGAGGAAGTTCTTCAATAATGAGGAAACTGTTCAATTTTTACACTAACTGAAAGCATTACAGGTATGCTTCCAGTTAGTGTAGATATTGGACAGTTTAAAATTTCCTCAATATGAGTAAAAGCACATTGTACTACATATATCAGAACACAATAAATCAGTATACTAGTAAACTAAAAATCAGCAAAAAACAAGAGAGTAAGTCAATTTTATGGATCATCCATATATCTAGATTGTATACATCTGTTTACATAATTTGATAAATGGGAAGGATAACTGCATGTACTTGCTCCCCCCTTCCAGAAAGTAAAAGAAAAAAAGAAAAGACCAACCTAAATCTTATATTCATGTATCCTTGTTTTAGCTATCCACTCACAAATTACACATTTGGAACAAAAGATGCTCTGTATGAGAAGGACAGCTCAGTGCAGGCCAGGTTCCAAAGAATGAGGGAAGAGTTTGAGAAAATAGGGATGAGACGCTCGGTGGAGGGAATTCTACTTGTACATGAACACAACCTCCCACATGTATTATTACTGCAGCTAGGAACAACATTCTTCAAACTGTGAGTACATCTGCCACTGCAGTATGACAATTTGGAATATATTAGTATTATAATTATTGTTATTATTATTATTATTGTCTTTTCTTTATAATAAGCCAATTGCAAATTAATGCTTTCTTGCCACATTGATGATAAAAAAAGTCAAAAACCATTGTCAATTATGATTTAAAAAGTCAATTTGCCCAGATGTTATAGTGTTTAGTTTCTTGACATCTTGTTTGTCAGTACATGCTGTAATTATGCATTAAACAGTCAAAAGCAGGCTGGCCAACCTTGCTTGTCATCTGGATCCTAAATTAAAGTTTGCATTATTCAAGGCAATAAAATGAGGCAGCAGAGTATAGATCTGTTGATGAATGATTTGTGTATGTAGTAGTATATGTGTGTACTTTCAGTCCAGGAGGAGAATTAAATGCAGGTGAAGATCAGGTAGAGGGACTGAAAAGGCTACTGACAGAGGTGAACTTTAAATCTTTGTACTTTTTTTAGTCAGGTGATATTAGTAGCATAATTAAAAGAATTTGGTTGCAGATAAATGCTAAGATTTCTCTACTAAATCTATTAGTGTGTGTGTGTGTGTGTGTGTGTGTGTGTGTGTGTGTGTGTGTGTGTGTATAAAAGAATCACATTAGAAATAAAAATTAACTAAGGTCTCTAAACCTAATCTGTTAGTCTAGTAAATAAAAGATTGTGGTTAGAAAAAAATATTAACTACGGTAATGTNTAAAAAAAGAAAGAAAGCTATTTAACAATTATCTCAGGTAATTGTGTCATTACAAGAGGGAGTGGAACAAAAGCTGTCACATTCACACACACTCAAAGACAGCTATTGTGTTTGCATACTGTGACATAATACCTTCTACTTGATGCTCTGTAAATACTTTATATCAGCATTTTAGATTTCTGGGTGGCATGAGCCCACTTGAATGATATGAAGAACTTAAACTATGAGTAAATTCTCTTCATAATATTTAATTGTGTGTGTGTGTGTGTGTGTGTGTGTGTGTGTGTGTGTGTGTGTGAGAGAGAGAGAGAGAGGGAGAAGGGGGGGTGCTGGCTGGTGAAGTATTTCAATTCTTTATCCATCAACATCCATGTCTGAAAAATTGAAACCTGAAGATTTTTTTGGACTAGACTTACCTAAGTGACTACAACGCAGATCACGAACCACCAATTCTCCCATTGTCTCACTCTCTAAACAGTATCAAAACTGCACTATGATCTCAAGACTTGCACAATTAACAACTGTATTTCAATAAATCTTGTTGTGGTGAAAGTTAAAAAAACACAAACAAGGTGGAGTCCTTCCTTTTATGCAATTCTTCGGACAGTTTACTGGCTCCCCAATGCCAGTCCACCCAAAACATTTCCTGTGCTAAAGCTTGCTAGTTCTGTCGGTCTTTCAATCCAATGATTGTCAATGGCAAAATCTACATATGACACATGATAAAAATTTTTCCATTCCTTTCCAAGGAAAAAATTAGTTGTAATGTTCCCAGTACAAATTAACAAACAGTCTGTCCACATGATTTTGTATTTTTCATCCTTTGTGAGCATTTACTAGTAATATTGTTCCTAACACTATAAATGTTTCTGGATGTAATGTTCAATGAACGTCCCACATAAAGAAAGCTTACCAATGCTGTGACAAATGTTACAACTCTGAGGCAGTCTGACACTTTCTAACAGTCCCTGCTAGCAGTTTTTCTGACTGGCAGCACATAGTATTCATCTCATACACATGTGAATTCAAGTAATCCATATTCACTAGGAAGCTGACATGATTTTAGACATCACACACAAAATACACCACCTTGGTCATAGTGTTACACACATGATCAAACACTAGGAGTACTGCTACATAAAAATCTAGGTCCATGGTAGTGAAAAACAGACCTAAGTCACATATTTCTATATCTCTCTATGTCTTATCCACCACCTGTGGTATATTATATATAAATGGACATATATCCATGATATTTGCAGGTGTCCTATGGAAAGCGCCTGTTTCTGTCACGCATTCACAACAGCCTCCTTGTCTTCGCCAGTCGTGTTCTACATGACAAATAAGTTGTCTTCTTTTATAAGTGCAAGTAAAAGTTCAAGCAAGTCAGTGTCGCAAAAATGATGCATGCCCAGGGCTCTTCTTAGACCTTGTTTAGGTTGAAATACTCAACAAAAGTATTTTTTCATACACTTCAAATTTTTATAACCCTGTCTCAGTCCTAAGCAGCAGTAGTCGTGACACTGTCAATAATTCCACTCTTTACAACATGGTGACAGAAGTACAGTTGTTTCTGCCTCACAAATCAAAAGTGTAGCATCTTGTTTTACAAATATTGACATCATAATCCTGTGAAATATAACCGCTCTACCCTTGAATTCCCTACTACAGTATCATAGCACTGAGCCTTATTTCTCAGTACACGTACGGCATCCTACCCTTAAAATCCAGGTAATACCAAGCTCTAACAATCTAAAAAATATGCTTTTTCCTATCTTCATGCTCCTGCTAAACAGACTGATATAGGACCACAGCAACCCAACTATATGGGCCCAGAACACTCAATGTCTAATTACTTAAAGACCATGATAAATGGCCCCTCTACTGTAGGCGCATGTAGTGCCCTAAAAGGCAACTTTATTTATTCACTTGACGTGTCATTGGTCTGGTTAATCAACCAGAGGTCAGAGGTCACCAGCTGCTGCTAAGTTGACATTCTGTTGGTATGACAGGATCTACTGCATGAACTGCATAAGTAATGAGCCAAATGCATAATGAGCATTTGGGTTGCCATTGGTAACTGGGTGCCTTGAGATATTTCTTCATGAAACTTGTATGCAGTGACATATCAGGGAAAAGACATGTAATTTGGCTTCTACTAAATCTAACTGCTAAGACTGCTTTTGACATTTAGTTAAAAATCAAGTACTGAAGAAGGTCAATTGTGGGTGTTTCAAAAGATGTGTTATACCATGCAATATCTCACTGTTACAAAGTAAAAGTCAAATATGGCATAGGAGGCCAAAGCAAGTTAGCAAAAGGCCTTAGTTGTTATGTGTTTCTGAAAATGGAAAGCTGGTCTTAGCTCTAGTATTAGACAAAATCTGTTGCCAATATATATTCTATCAATTATTTGATACCAGTATATTGATATATATCAAGATATAAAATATGTAACCAAGATTCTGCCATATATCAATTTTTCATTTAATTTACATTAATCTGGTTCAAAGACAGTTAAGGCTTAATGATCTGCACAAGAAAACCAATAAATGAGTGCCAACGGGAGTCCACAAAGGTATATCAAGGTTTCCTTGAAACACTTCCCCAGTTACAACATATCTATCAAAGTTCTGCTATAAATTTATAAAAATGGTATCAAAACAGTGAACAAGAAATAAACAGAGTCAAGTTATCAAACTTGTGGTGCAACACTGAGAGTTATCATTTCACCAAAACCTGACTTAGATACAATGTCAGACAGCTATCAATGCATGTTGTCTTGTATTTCAATCATTTGTCAAACTATCTCTTGATAGCACTATGCATTTAATCTAATGGGTGGATAGGATAATACATGCTTGCATGTCACGAACCACGATAACAGGAATATTGAATTTTTTTTCCCTATGATGTCCTAGAGTGTACCCACATTGCACTCAATCAGGACTTATTTGTCAGGTTTCAAGACAGATGTCTTAAGGAGTATGTCACCAACAATTAGTGCCTAATGCAGAATAATTGCTGTCACAATTGTTTAGTGTCATTTATGTTCAACGAATTATATATCACTGACAATTGTGTGTCATTTGTCAGTTCAAAGACCAACACAGGAATTGGGCTATGCTCAATAAGGGGTGGGAATGATGATCATGTCTGCACATCAAAAATCAACACAAGCGAAAGGAGAATGGTATTTTAATAATATACCTTATTAAAGTTTGAGACCCCCTTGATGTAAAAACAAATTTATTTATATTTCAGCACAATTATCATTCACAGACTAAGATTTCACTCAATGATAAAATTACAAATGTTAAAAACCTTTAGCCAATTGAAACGATGATTAATTTGACAAAAAATGCCATTGAAAAAATTAAGTTTACCTTTCGTTAAAAATTTAAGTCACCAAGGTGAATCCTGATATTATCTATACAAGGCAGTAAATCATTTAGCAAAAACAAAAATTATGCAAAAATAATTAGACAAAAAAAAAAGAAAAAAAAACTTTCATTATGGGAAGTGAGCCACCATGAAGTTTCTGATGGTATAGGTGGATATTTTACTAACTGAAAACTGTCATTAATACAAATATGTTCCTGTTTATAAAATGTGACCAGGTCTCTGCTCAAAATTTGTCTCAGTTTTAAAACTTTCCCACCTTACATGCTACGTCACAGACATGCTGAAAACTTTTCAGAACTGCCGGACATTCGGACCGGCAGTGATGAAAAATTGCCGGACCAAACGGACATAAGCCGGACCGAAAATTTCCATCAAATATGGATACGTTTTGTTTGCATAGTAGTACACAGAAGTAACTCTTGTAAATACATATTCAGTAATACTATCAATAATTTGGGCATGTTGTATATTAAAAAAACAAAAACTGACACTTAGAAGTTGGGAAGCACTGCTTTATTGTTGTTCTCATTTCACAAGTTGTAGGGTTTAAACAGGCCTTAAGAAGAGTTTCAATTTGTTTTTTCCTTTGAAAGTCCTTGAATTTCACACTGTCCTTTAATTCAATGGTACAGCGTGTACGGCTTAATTTTTCAAGATAGCCATCTTGGCAAGTGTCTCACTGCTGCCAGCCTGGCACTCACCATGCAATGCCTTCCAGCTCTCACCACTATTTCCAAGTGCCATAAATACATGTATAATAATATGTTTTAATGAAATATGGTAAAAAAAGCATGGAATTCATCATATGCTTCACATTTATGTCATAAATTGAGATAAATTATGACTTTTATCATGATCAATTTCTCAAAAATTTAATGTTGAGCCATTTCAATTTGAAATGAATTTGCTTAGAAATTAAATGAAAAAAAAAAAAACTTATGTCCACTGTTCATCAGTAGCAATATTTGCTGTTGATCAATTTCTCCTTTTCTTGAAAATAATTTGCAAATATTTTCATGCTACACAAACAGTACATATTAGATATTGTAGTCCGAATGGGAGTGCTAGTGCATGAAACATGCTAGCCACTGCACTGTATCAGTCTCCTCTGCATGGAAACGAACGGCTTCCTGATCAGGACTCGACGATACCATAATCTAAAATAATAAAAAATATTGATGATGTGAAAACTGTAACTGGTACTGGTAACTGGTATCGCATTAATGCTGACTGGATATTTAAAATCTGTAAAAATATGTTCATACACCATGGATCAAGTTTCTACGGTAGGTTCGAGGAAGCGACCGAACTGCCATACTATTGGCGATATGAGGAAGGCACTACCGCCTATTAGCCGAATACAAACGAAAGTTCCCATAAGTTAAATAACCATTACAATCACCACTAATTACGCATAAGATTCAGTCCTATAATTCTGAAATCGTTTTTACTGAGTGAATCGGGTGACCTCATTTCCATGCACTTTCGACATTTTTATCCAAAAAGAACAACTAACAGTGTACGTACCTTGAAGGTCGAGCGTCACTATCCTGGCTTTCTGTAAGAATAACTGTTCTTGAGAAAGGCGTCAGTCGTCCGAGTTTAGCAGCAAACTTTTGCCCTGACAAGTTTACATGTGCTTGGCAGCGTGGACCGCCCTCGTGATAGATGTCTGTATGTCGCAACTAATAGGCCAATGACAGCGCGCGTAATATCGAGAGCAGGGGGATTCCTCATGGGGATTTACTCATTCGTTTGAGACGGATACTATGATTGGCTAGCGTACTTTGTTAGTGAATGTGGCCAAAATGTGATCGGTTTTTACGTGTCGCTCGATTAGTAGGCCTAAATGGTAGAAAAAAATGATGTGGCTTTTTTAAATAATTTTATTCTTGAAGTACATCAGACGATGACTGTAAATTCAAAATGGCGGCTCTTAAAATTCTTGTCGGTCCTTTGGACCGACTACGTACATTTTTTTACCGGTCCAGAGAAAATTTGCCGGTCATGACCGATCGGACCGACAGTTTAAGCATGTCTGCGTCATTTAGATAGCCTCCAGTACCACTGGACAGCCTATTTTCAAAGACGGCTAGACAGCTTTTGAATTTTTTTTTTTTTCTTGGATAAAAATGAATTGATTTTCACATTCCCTTCAGTCTTGGTATCGGTCCAGTATTTTCAAGATAAAATTCTAGGTATGGCAGATCATATACTTTGTATTCTTATGCCCCAGTATGAAAAAGAACTGTTTTAATCAGCTGTTGCTTTTGATGTTACCATGTACTAGCAGTACATGGCAGCAGTTAGGGAGGGAGGGTGATTTACATGTATAATCGGTTGCTGTTCATTTCAAATGACTAATTCATAGAGCTAAAACACAATTTGACAACATTATGATTAGCGGCAATCATGACCACTATTAATGGAAAGCTGTGTAATTACACCTTAACACTTAGGATAATAAATATCAGTAAGGTTCATTTTTGTAAAATTTGAAAGAATGTCACTTACGAAGCTTCCATGATCTTTTGGTGGCTGCCGCCATTTTCGTAAACTTATATCATTCAACCAGGTAATGACATCAATTTTCCTGTTAAAGCAGGGACACAAATTGCATATCTTCTCCAGTGAAATACGTCTACAGCCAATTTCTAGTCCTGTATTGCTGCTTTTAGAGTGAAGTTAGAATTAAATTTCAAATAAATGTCAACTTTCTTTGGGCAAAGTTTGAATGTTTTCACCGCATTGAAATTCTATTATATTTCCGGACCAAATGAAAACTTATGTACCATTGGTTAAAATGTTTTGTTTTTGAGTAAAGCACTGTTTTACCAAATGAGATTAATTTAAGCGCTCTAATACAAGTCACAACTGTTATTTAGCTAAATATTAATAATTACTTTATTGGTTTGGAATATCATATCTCCACCCCGGTGAATTGGATCGTTACTTCCGGTATAAACAGATCTCTGACCCAAAACCATGTTCAGAAAAGTAAGCACCCTAAGACAAACTGTGGGTTGCGCTTTAAGAATTAATGCCATCAGAAATGTGCACTACGAGCAAGGACAGTCCCCAGAGCCCAAAATTAGAGAATATTTCTACTACATAGACCACCAGGGACAGGTTTGTAGCAAACTATATCGCGTTAACTGTTGTATAATCACAGTCACAGTTTGCGTAACTTACTCTCGGCTGTAAGTTGCATCGGTGGCGTGGGGGCCGGGCGCTTAACGTTAATGCCCCCCCCCCCCCCACCAATCCCCCCTCACTCAGATACACACATGCAGATACACACACACACACACACTATACTACATGTACATGTACGTCATTCATAAGTTCAGGAAGGAGGGGCTCAGGGGGGGGGGGGTAAGCAGAATATTCCCTCCCTGCTCCCTCTCCCCCCCCCCCCCTCCCCTGACAAATTTTACAAATATTTATGGGGTCCTTTAAAAGGTAGAAATGGAATGAAATGGATCAAGATAGACCTCTAGCTACTCAAAACAAACCTCATTGAAATCGCATTTGGGTTCTACTGTACAAAGTAAAAGTAAATCTACTATTTTCCACCTTGCCTCTTCTTTAAATTTGGTTCTACCTGGATCCTGCTGACTGTGTATGTGGATTTTATTAAATTTGATTGTAAAATTATTAGTAATGTTGATTTTATGTTAGATGTGAATATTATTCCATGGTAGTATGATGAGGTATACAGTACACATGTATTGAGTACCAGTATGGAATAGGGTGGTGTATTACATATAGATGTAGTTTGATGTGTTTCTTAGATGTATCAGCCACTCATGTTAAATAGACATCGCTATTTTCCACCATTTTTCAGGATATTTCATTTATAATTCATTGTGCATTTGTATCAATTTCAAACATTGTAGTTTTGATAGTTTCTTTTTTATGTTTTGCATTTACTACAAAGCATAATGTTATAATATCATTTATGTTCCTTTTCAGCTTTTTCTAGATGATGCAAAGATGAAAAACTTCACCTCCTGTTTTAAAGGTACGTAGTTTTGACTCAACCAATGTTTTTTTTTTACATTGCTTTCAATATGAGAGTATTATAATCAAATTGTCATGATTATCAAGAAGGTCCAAATTTAGCAAGAATCAGAGAACTTATTCAGTGATTTTATTGTCTAATTTTGAAGGTGGATTTTTGAAACAAAACATTCACTTTGGTGTTCAATTTTATTATATTTCAATTTTGTATTTATTATTTATTTTTATTATTTAATATTATATTTCAATTTTATTTCTGTATTTTATAGAAAAAGACTTCCTACAGTTCTTCTTCAAAAGGGTCAAGTTCAACAATACAGGGCGGTATGAAGAAGATTTCCCCTATGTCTCACCCTGTGGTAGAGAGAGGAATTACATTCGCTGTGATGACCTCCCTATTGTATTCACACAGATCTTGGAAACTGCTGATGGAGAACCAGATCTTCTATCATGCAATCATACAGGAGACAAACTCACATTGACCTTTGACCCAGAAAAAGTCTGTATGTTACCAGAGACGGGACGGATATATCATCCAGCCGGTGATCGAGTTGGCGGAGTTGGTTTGATAAAATCAGCCCTTGCAATAGAACTGAGTAAATATTTTGAGTTTAGTCCTGATAAAGAGTTTGAACCACCTGTATATTTTACATGGAAAGGTCACAGATACTCTCTGACTAATGAACTGATCCCTTCCTTGAAGAAAATGGACAAATTCAAGTCACCAGCTTATGTGCCAGAAATATAACTGACAAATTCTGAATTTGTGAATGAATTAATTATTTACTGTAGCAAAACATTACGGGTCTGTTAGATTGCTGAAAAGCATGGAATTGGTCCACCATCAGGAACTGTTTTATGTTTGTGCTCTAAATCATTAACAGGGGAAGATGGAAAATACATTTTTACTGAGATTTGGCTTTCCTTTTGAGAAATATGTCAATTGTCAGAGAATCTTATATTTAAATGAAATGTATAAATGTGTTGAGTAATTTGAAAAAAAAAACAGACAATTCTCTGATTTAAGATTATTTATTTTTTTATTTATTTATTAAAGTGATTTTATTTATTTATTTTTTTTTTCCATTTCATTAAAGGTAAAGGTTTTATTAATTGAAGTTCTTGTTGTTTTGTGATTAATTTAAATGTTATGCAAAACCATTAACCCATCACAAATGCATGTTTTATCAAACCCTTGTACATAACACATTTGATAATTAAGAGTTTACAGTAGAATTGACTTCTTATATCTATCTTGTGAATGGTGACAGTTGTGTGTAAAATTGCACACTCAAAGTTACTTTTTGCTATCGAAGTAACGTCTATAAATATGAATGAATTATGGGATTGTTTCCAAAATGCATAATCTGCCATTCTGTATTAGAACCCGTCATCCTTGGTGTAATTCTGGACGTCAGCCTCACCCTCGTGACTCAAATGTGTAGATTCCATTTGGTGAGATTGGGTGCCATTGTGTTAGTTGAGATTGGATAGCAGTGCGTTAGATGAGATTGGATACCGTTGCTGTCAGAAGGTGACCAACAATTGATCCCAACTAAAAGAAACATTGAACACCATGTTCAAGAACTTGGGGCGAGTCAGTCTAGAGGAGGGGTTTCAAAAGTGTCCTCTTGGAAAATGAGTACAAAATTGACACTTGAACTCTGTTAGCAGTGATTTTTTTTCTAGTGGAAGTTAATGTTGAATTAAGGCAAAGTATCGAAAACACGACTTCATTTGCTCTAGAGTATTTTGCACCAATGAACCGTCAGGTTAAACCTTGAAATCCAATCAAGACGTGTGACAAAATTGCGCATCGGGAATTATAAGATAAAAGAATTAAAATCCAATTGGAGAATCATATACTTTCACAGCCCTCACGTCATCCGGGGACGGACGTTCAATTTCCTTATTCATTTTTAAATGGTTGGTATAATATTCAGAACAAAATATAATGCGTATAATGCGAACTATACATTTGTTCGCCCTTGGCTATCATATCGAACGTTGCTTTGACAAGGTATTTTATTTGTTGTTTCACCTTCACGTTTATTCTTGCGACGGGCGTCGTTGTATAAAGGCGAACCCAGTTCAGGTTTCTTTGCGCTATTGATTGTGTTTTGAGGGTAGCTTTTAATCATCCAGAGAAAACCAGCGACTGAACCTGCTTGTTTGGAAAAGAGACCAACCTGATAGAGTGTAGTTTTTAAAAAGCATTTGCTATAGATCTCAGCATATACTACTAGTATAAGTGCGCACCTGTACTGGTTTGTGTGTAACAGAAACTGTGGGACGTAAAGAACAGCTTAGAAGGACGCAGAGAGCGAGCTTGATGTGAGTCTTCTTCACCCAAGGATTTTACAGTTTCTTTCATAAAAGTACGTAGAAATAGTCAAGACAAGCGATAATCAAATATAATATAAGATCTATCAGATGAAGTAGAACCATATTTAAAACGTGAATCTTTAAATTGACGAGAGCACCTGAATCATGCAACAGATGGTAAAACGGAAGGTCGATTGAATTATGTATTGGAACATGTATACTACAAAATATGATGCCGCCGACCTATGTGTTTGACTTTTATCCTTAAATTTTCAATTTATAAATTTTTGTATTTATGATTATCTTTGAAAGGATGGTGGTTATAAGCAAATTCTCTTTTAGTTCTTCTATCCTTCGAGATCTGTCTATGGTAGAGTCATGTCTTTGAAATTGATACTCACGAACGACTTGGACCTTAGATCTGTCAATATTGTTCATCCTACTTTATGTGGTGACATTTTACACATACGATTACTTAACTGGGACATGGAAGAACAGCCCATATGTGAATGTGTGCATGTTTTTATTGCCATGTTATTGTCGTTGGTCTGTGATGACTTGGGCTTACCAGCTATTCTCAGTTATGGAAATAATCTAATCTAAATGACCACATTTTGACACAGTGCCAACACATATCTTTTTATTTTGATATGACAAAAAGAATCAAAACCAAGAATTGGAACTGCTTTATTGTTTTCACTTTTAGTGGTGCTGAACAAGAATAGCTGAATAATATATTTTCAGCGTTTTCAGAAGACAAAATGTATTATTGTAAAAACTAGAAAGCACTCTGAGAGTGCAGACCTCCGCCAAGGCAGCGATTTTTTATTATTATTGATTATTGGTTGATTGTTGATCCGGATCACCACCAAATACTAATCTCTTCCTTGGCCCACTTCTGACAGTTCCTGAAAATTTCATCAAAATCGGTCCATACCTTTTTGAGTTATGTTGATGGCAAACAAACAAACAAACAGACAAACAGGGGTGAAAACATAACCTCCTTGGCGGAGGTAAAAATGTTACATGTCATGAAACCATTTCATACTGTGATGCACGTCTTTATAAAATTTCCCAGTTCAACCTAAAAGCATTCCATTGTGGCAATAAAGCACCAGCTCTTAATGAGAAGTTTCATTATTTATGAAACGAAGCCACAATGCAATATTACTTAGCACGATGGGAAATAAACAGAATAAACGATGTGACATCACGTCATGTAAGACAACAGCTCATTATCAATAAGTGATTTTTGTTGCTATCTATTAAAAACATTTTCAATAGCTAATGTTGCTATCTATTAAAAACATTTTCAATAGCTAATATCTCTGTGTACACGCTTATATGATACACCACAACCCCGAAAAACAGGCACACGAATAAATGAACACTATTTTATAGCTGCTTAGACAAAATGGACGGAAATAAAGATTGCTGAATGCCTCATGTTGCAAATGTCTCGCTTGTGAAGTGGGAGCGATGCTAGTTCCAGAACACAACGGTCTTGCTGACATCCTTGGTCACCTTGAACGCTGTTTAAGCATGATTTTCATTGGAAGATGTTTTGTTTCTAACCCTCCCCTCTTACTATTGAAACAATCATTCGAATAATGAAGAGAAAAAACACATTTTAAATCAAAAGTTTGCTTCCCATCACAGAAAATTAGGTGGGGCTAAATTTCAAAATTCTGTGTCTCTTTTTACATGTAGGGTCTAGTTCATATGTCCTATTAGCAGCCTTGGTATATAGAAATGACTCATGTGTGGTACGCAATTCAGTAACAATTCAGTATCTTTTTTGTAGAGTCGCCTGCGTTAAATCGGTAATCGATTTCCCTATAGAGAAAGGAAATAATTACTAGTCCAATACTGTTGACTTCAAAACATCCCATGCCATTGACAATTTGTATGTCTTTTGCTTTTTGGAGTGGACTTTGTTAGACTAGTGGTCGATTTCATAAAGTGATGGGATTGGTAATTGATTGCAACATCTACGTTCATATTCAGTGTCACTAAAGCGACCTGGAACATATAGTACGTCACTGTTTTGTAAATCTGCCTACGGCAACTATCAGCTGTATACTCCAGCCTGACAAGCTTTTGCCTGTCAAACGTTTCGACAAGAACAGTTTGTCATTTCAGCCTACTTATGACTGCGTATATATTTTTCTGTATTTGCAGTTTTCGAACTTGTGACAATTGTAAACCATGGAAACCACTTCATCTCATCATGACAAAGAGGGGATTGCTTCTAGCAACGACATGCTTGTAGCAAAGATGCCGACTGCGTCGCCGAGTAAATCTTTCAGCCGGGCAGACGATAACAAAATTATCATTGATGTAGGTGGGGTAGTGTTCTCTTTGTCGCGAACAGCCATCTTGGATTCCCGTCACTCGGACTCATCCTTGTCAAGGGCGGTGTTGAACGGAACTCATTTCAATCCAACCACCAGACAGTATAGCTTTGATCGTAACCCCGAGGTTTTTGGCTATGTCGCTGACTATATCCGCACTGGTGAACTGCACGCGCCACATGGGATGTGCGGAGAGATGGTATGGAGGGAATTGGAATACTGGGGTATTCCCAGGGAGGCCATGTCGCCGTGCTGCAGCCATAAACTGGGGAAATATTCCCGTAAACTAGAAGAAAAGGAAGCTATTGAAAAAGAGTTTAGTCGACGATGTGTCGATGACGTATGGCCGGTTGATGGAGAGGAAACTCGAGGGAGTTGCTGCTCCAACAGAACGAAAAGAAAGCTGTGGATGTTCTTGAATGAGCCAAGATCTAGCAAAGGGGCTTTGGTACGGTTGGTCTCTACTTAACTCCTCCATATACATTATTTTTCCCATTTTCACTCTTCTGCATGGCAATGGGGTATAAATGTATTGAAATATTTGTGGAAATAGACGTTGCTAAGATTAAGCCTACATGTATGTTTTAACCCTGATTTTCCTTATAAGCACTGCATTATTGGTATTGGTGTTGAAAAAACACTGGTTTCTAAATTTTGTCTGAATTGGTGGCACATCAGTACACTACCAATATGTGATAATCTAATCAAGATTAAGTCAAAAAATTTCCGTTGCAGTAATTGAATTAAGTATTGTATCAAATGGAGCTTTCTGATGACTTGATATGGTTTAATGAAATTGGTTATGATGAGTTATCTTTCTCGTTTCAGGTATTTTCTCTGGTTTTATTTTTACTCATCATATTGAGCATCATCGTCATGATGATCAACACCTCACTGTCGTTTCGTCAACCGTACACTACAAATGAGACCGTCATGGCGAAGTTGCAGAACTCCATCTCCGCAATGAATATCACCAATGAGAAGATAAGCATGAGGATCACCACTACGGGGCCAACCATCACAGCTGTTTTGGGATATATTTGTGTTGCTTTTTTCACAATAGAGTTTATTTTACGTCTGATCGCCGAAAGAAACAGATGCGCTTTCTTGCGCTCGACCTACGCTATTTTGGACTTACTCGCACTTATACCTAGCTTCGTCGACACCATAATAAAGGGCATTTTTTTCGGTAGAGCATTGTATGAAAATTATACGTTTATAACACTATTTTGGGTAAGTGAGTTATTTTTGGTGTTGCGCATTTTGAGACTATTTAGATTAGCCGAGTATTACGACGGCTTGAGGGTTTTATTGCTCTCTCTGAAAGCCAGTTGGAGGGAACTCGTCCTTTTGGAGGCATTTTTACTGATAGGGATGTCCATATTTGGCTCCTTAGTATATTACGCAGAAATAATGGAAGGAGATGGAGATTTTGGTGAAATACTGATTGGCTGCTGGTGGGCCGTTATCACCATGACAACCGTTGGCTATGGGGACACTCATCCAAAATTCCCAGGAGGTTACGTTGTTGGTTATGTGGCAGCGACTTTTGGTGTCATTTTGATGGGCCTACCTATCGCTATCATTGCTAATAATTTCAGCAAATATTACCAGTTCTTGGCTGAAAAAGCAGAAAAGAAGAAAACTGACAAAGCCCAGGCAATACACAACGGCAAAATTCAAGTGAAGGAGTTTCAAACAAAGAAGGATGGTTCGTTTAAACATTCACAAGTGAATCCACAGGATTTTTGATTTCCCTTGTCTAAAGAGAAAACACGTACATAGGAGGATTTATACCACAACAGAGGATGCCTCATGACACCACAGCTAGGGGTTGCTGACCGGGGGTGGGGGTGGGGGGTGTTAGGCCTGGCCCCGGTTTCACAAAAACAAACATGAGTCAGGTCCCTGGTTAAGAACTTAATTTACCAACGTTACGTGCATGGTCACATGCGCACATCTTACCCTAGCAACAGTGAACAGTGTTACTGCACTCTTCATGGAAATCCTAGTCAACTACCAAGGGAACTGACTTAAGTTTTTATTTATTTTTATTTATTTATTTATTTATTTTTTTGTGAAACTGGGGCCAGTTTTCTTCCTTTTGAGCCGAAACAGACGGTACACACGAACACGAGTATTTTGCAATGTTGAGTGTGATAAACATGATTCTATGCGTTTCAATGTGCGTCATATTTAAACTTTTAAAATGTTGAAATGACAGGGACTGGATGTACCGTTTTTGATTTGAAAGAAGGGCGGTAGTAATTAAAAGTTCACGGGTAGTAAAATCATCAATTCACAAATCACAGTAAATAAAACTTTATATATATATCACTGATAATGCGCGTCGAAAATCATGACAATTACGAATCACCGGGTAAAATGACTTCGTTTAACGAACAGTTGGTAGGGCCATAGAAGTTTTCTCTACTTCTATGGTAGGGCGGAGAATAAAAGAGCCGCATCCACGACTCACGGGAATGCTGTGCTTAACGAATCACGCTAAATAAATGAACGTTCCACGCATCTCGGGTAATAAAAAGTGGCTTTCAAGGGTAACGAAAATCGTTTCTACATTCAAAGTTAGTCCCTGTTTTTTTTTTTTTTTTTTTTTTTTTTTTTTTTTTTTTTTTTTTTTTTTTTCCTAAAAAGTTTTTATTTTAGTATAGCCATCTATGGAGGTCACGTGGTCCGATGACAAGCACAAATTTCAGTGTAATTGCTATAGCTGCCGTTTTTTGTGGTAAAATAGAAAATATTTTATTTCTGATGGGTTGTTTACAATGCATTTATTGTGAAATATATAGATCTCATACGAAGAGTTGTTACCCCTTCAATTTCTTTGACATCAGTTCTCAGTCAGTGGTCAGCTTAAGGGCTGGATAAAATAGATGTTTGGGATATGAGGACAAAAAATGTGGAAACTTCCTCCAGTGCTCAGGTAGGCCTATCTGACGAATACGCATAGGGCCTAAGGGAGGAGTGTACAATCCTATACATGTCAGTTGTCTTTTTTTTTTCAAATAAAATGTTTGATCATTTAATAAAATATAACTTTTCTTTGCTTTCTCTGCATTATTGAATACAGTAGGCCTTTACAGAGAATTTTAAGCCCGCTTGTTATCTTGACGGTAGGCCTATTCCGCTTCTTCCCTTTCTCTGTCGATGGAAAAGCTATGGCGGATTTAGAGGGGGGATCATGTGGGAAGTAGGAATAAAAGTTAGAAATTCAATTGGCATTGGAAAATAAGTTAGAAAATCCAATAGGCATTAAACATAAATAAAGTAGGCCTACTGCTTTGAAAGAAAGTAAATTTTAAATTTTTACTCACATATTTCCAAAATTATGCTCGGATTAATTTTAGTGTCTCTTTTTTTACCAAGACCAGGAAGTTTGAAAGAAGAAAACATGTTGATTGAAAGTGTGAAAACATTAAATGACGGGCCATGTTTTTTTTTTACACCTGAAGTTACCGACCTGTAATTGCTTGTCCCTTACATATCCCATGTTTATTTAAAAAGGTGTTTTCATAAAAGAAAATAAAAATTATAAAAACAGACACAGTCAATCAAATTTTTATTTATTAACTATGCATGCAGTTGTTCTATTGATGAAAATGTCAAACAAAGACAGTCATACAACAAATTGATTTCACCTTAAATATAGGTAGGCCCTAAACATAAAGGGGCTAAATAAATAGGCCTACTGGCGTCTTGAGTTCTTGAGTTTATAGAGGCATTCCGTGCGTAAGTTTTGATATATCTAAACAATGTTTAACATATGACCTTGCCGATACGGCTACCTGTGGAAGGATCAAGGCAAAGGTGTATATAACACAATTTTTGTTATTACAAACTTTGCCGTGCTTAGAACGCAGCTTAACCCTCAAGTGACCGAGTGGGGTCATTTACGACCCCAGCCATATGATTTTATGTGCCATCTCTTTATTTTTTATTCGAATTTTCTTTCCTTGCATGAGTTTGTCAGTCTACTAATTCTACACACTTATACAGTTTTTTGTAGGGATCAACCAATTAATGTGGCGTATACATCACAAACTCTTGTGGGGTCATTTATGACCCCAAAGAGAAGCATTGATTTTTAAATATTAGTTTTTAAATTTTATTCAAATGTTTTGCCCACGCAACACTGACAGGAAAATGGCACATGCATGTGCTTCATGCAACCAGCCAGTGTGCCCAAAACATAGGCACAAATAAGTGTTTTGTGGAGATTGTGCATCGCTGAGTCTTATTTCAGTAGCTTTGTTGGAACTTGTTCTCATAAGTGGGTCTCTCATTTTGACGGTTACAATTTTTGGGTATTTCGAAAACCTGAATAACTCTGTCAATATCATGTTATACATATATTTACAAATTGTTTGTGTGGATTTTGTTTTATGCACAGATGCGGTAGTTACATACATGTAGGTTGATTGAATGTGCTCTGAGTAGTATGACTTCTTTACCAGCGCTAGCATTAGGGTATTCTCTACTCGGCAAGTCAGCTAATTATTCTTATTGAAGTTAGCAGGATCTCAACATAAGTCAACATATTTTTACTCAAAGTAATTTTGTAATGTACCTTTTTCATTTAGTGTGTCATATAAAAAGAGAAATATTTCTGCAAGTGGAAACTGACAAGGGCTGTCTAAATACCGGTGTAAAGTTGTTCTTAAAACCTGTGCTTGGTTATTTCATGCAGTAAAAGTAATATTACCAAATACTTATTACATTAGATCATTATAAAATACTTGTCTTAAATCCTGGGAGTAGTATAGGTGTGATAAACCCTCAACAGCTTTTTACAATAAGGATCCCTGTACAGAGCACAATGGGGTCATAGATGACCCCACTTGGTCATTTCAGTCAGTAAAATAGCTTGGTCTCTTGAGGGTTAAAACAACATTTCATTCTTGCAGAGTAAGAATAAAACTGTTCGCACTTTATAATTCTAAAAAAAAAAAAATGTCAAATTGCCATTGAAAGTTAGATAATAAAAAAAAATTAATTAAATTTCATTTATTTTATTTTTAGATATAGGTGAGTTTTAAAGGCCTTAGATCTAAAGTTCTATTTTGGAACCTTAAGCTTATCAGTAAGCTTATCACAGTGGAAAAAATGTAGACAGGTGGCGCATTAAGCAAATAGCGATTCCAATCTACTGCGCGAGAGTTCTGCGCAACTTCCGTAAGCAAAGCATCAAGCATGGCGACCCTCACTCCTAGAAGAAGCGGTTGGCCAGCCGGTAAAACGCCCCAAAATGCCTATATGTCGTCTGGATCACTAACACTGGAAAGGACAATAAACCTGTAAGTGATATTTGCAAGAGTAGATTCACGTTTTACCGTAAATATATGGCTTGCTGAGCGCGGAAGTGTAATGTTATGGCGCCGGCCGGCGAATACCACCATCAATAACAATGAACTGGATGATCATGGGTTAACTTCTTGAGCAATTTAAGACTTAAGATGTGACATTTCACTTTGCATTTCCCTATCTTTTTGTGACCCTGGTCTTGTATTATTGATAGGGTTCGAAATTCCAGTTCTCTGCCTACTATAACTACGTATGCTATCAATAGAGGTTCTTATTTTTATTAAACCGCATATCCATTCATTCTTAACTTCTCAGTCATTGTCATCAGTATAATATAGTGATAACATACAATAATACACACATTGAGGAAGTTCTTCAATAATGAGGAAACTGTTCAATTTTTACACTAACTGAAAGCATTACAGGAATGCTTCCAGTTAGTGTAGATATTGGACAGTTTAAAACTTCCTCAATATGAGTAAAAGCACATTGTACTACACATATCAGAATGCAATAAATCAGTATACTAGTAAACTAAAAATCAGCAAAAAAGCAAGAGATTAAGTCAATTTTATGGATCATCCACGTATCTAGATTGTATACATCTGTTCACATAATTTGATAAATGGGAAGGATAACTGTACTTGCTCCCCCCCCTTTCAAAAAGTAAAAGAAAAAAGAAAAGACTTAAACCAACCTAAATCATATATTCATGTATCCTTGTTGCAGCTATCCACTCACAAATTACACATTTGGAACAAAAGATGCTCTGTATGAGAAGGACAGCTCCGTGCAGGCCAGGTTCCAAAGAATGAGGGAAGAGTTTGAGAAAATAGGGATGAGACGCTCGGTGGAGGGAATTCTACTTGTACATGAACACAACCTCCCACATGTATTATTACTGCAGCTAGGAACAACATTCTTCAAACTGTGAGTACATCTGCCACTGTAGTATGACAATTTGGAATATATTAGTATTATAATTATTGTTATTATTATTATTATTATTGTCTTTTCTTTATAATAAGCCAATTGCAAATTAATGCTTTCTTGCCACATTGATGATAAAAAAAGTCAAAAACCATTGTCAATTATGATTTAAAAAGTCAATTTGCCCAGATGTTATAGTGTTTAGTTTCTTGACATCTTGTTTGTCAGTACATGCTGTAATCATGCATTAAACAGTCAAAAGCAGGATGGCCAACCTTGCTTGTCATCTGGATCCTAAATTAAAGTTTGCATTATTCAAGGCAATAAAAGGAGGCAGCAGAGTATAGATCTGTTGATGAATGATTTATGTATATAGTAGTATATGTGTGTATTTTCAGTCCAGGAGGAGAACTAAATGCAGGTGAAGATCAGGTAGAAGGACTGAAAAGGCTACTGACAGAGGTGAACTTTAAATCTGTGAATTTTTTTTTAATCAGGTGATATTAGTAGCATAATTAAAAGAATTTGGTTGCAGGTAAATGCTAAGATTTCTTTACTAAATCTATTAGTGTTGTGTATAAAGGAATCATTGGAAATAAAAATTAACTAAGGTTTCTAAACCAAATCTGTTAGTCTAGTAAATAAAAGATTGTGGTTAGAAATAAATATTAACTAAGATTTTTCAACTAAATCTATTAGTCTAGTGTGGAAATAAATATTAACCTTTAACCTTTTTGCTGTTTGGGACCCAAAAAGCATGGGTAATATCCCACCAGAAACCACCTGTGACAAACTCTCTCAAATTAAAAAAAAAAGAACATAGAACTTCTTTATAGAATTTGAGTTCACTTTTGAATCGTTTACACATAAATATAAATAAATGTGAATCATGTTTATGCCAAAAATATAATATAATATGAAATGTGTGAAATGCCCATTAGCATTTTTGATTGAAGATGGAGAGGCTGTTTTACAGAATTTTAAGGATCTTTCTGTTTGCAAATCTTTATTGATTAACGTTTCTAGTTTCAATATTGAAATATTGAACAGAAATACGTGTCATTTTATTTGTGTGATGTGTGTTTCAGACACTTGGTAGAACAGATGGAGGTCCCATGGACTGGACTATAGAGGATACAGTAGGGAATTGGTGGAGGCCTAACTTTGAACCACCACAGGTTAGACATTTTATTCTACCACATGTTTTCTCTCTTTTTCTCTCACTATTCTTCTTCTTCCCATTCATCCATCTCTCTCTCTCTCGCTCATACACACACCTTTTTAAAAAACACAAATTCGAAGTATTGAAGTTCTTATTTGGTTTGTATACACACACATGTTTAGAAATGTTTAACTTCAGTGATTTTCTGTACCTGGTACTTCATTTTTTTAGTACCCATATGTCCCAGCACATATGACAAAACCCAAAGAGCACAGACGTCTTTATCTGGTGCAGTTACCTGAAAAAGGTAAGCAGTTATTTATGGAATTAAAGAGACATTTAAATGCAACAGGATTTAAGTTCACATTTTGCTGTTATATGAGGAGTATCATCATTTTTGTTGATAATTGTGACAATCAAAAAGCCTCTTTAAAATCCAGCAATTAAGAAAAAAAGCCAGAAGTATGCTGTTACTATCCAGATTTTTTGTTATTTGTTGGATAGGAAGAAATTTAAAGAAAGTAATTTTTATAAAATTTATCAACGGTCACTTAATGCAATTAAATATATTGTCAATTTTTAATTATTTTTTCTTCCTTACTCTGTAGCTCTGTTTGCTGTACCCAGGAATTACAAGCTGGTGGCGGCACCTTTGTTTGAGCTCTATGATAACTCTGCAGGATATGGCCCCATCATATCAAGTTTACCGCAGGCTCTTAGCAGGTATGAATCCTTGTTTTACTTTATGAATAAAGTGAAGTTTATTTTCCCATGTGAGCTTGAAGGACTTGGCATCTTTTAAGTCACATCATAGTAAGTTTATCAGTACACGTGACAAATTTTTATTATGTATTATGTTGTCTCAGTTGGATGCCTAATAATCGTGGTTAACTTATATATTTATTACATAAGTCCCTCTTTCAGTATATCATTACCCATTTGAAAATTATGTCTAAGAGGGGATGATTTCAGGGGGCGGGTTGGGGTATATGTTTCATTTTGGGAACTTGTAGCCTGTTGTTAAAATTTTCTGAATTAGTTAATCATTGGCTGACTTAGAATCGATTAGAATGTGGAAGAGATCCATTAATTGCTTGTTTTTTTTTTTTTTAATTAATAAATTGATAAGAATAAGAATTGAGCTGTCCCCACTCAGTGCTTCTCTATTTATTTATTGTGTAGTCCGGTCTCAGCAGCATTGTGCTGGTTGTGACTTTGTGACGTACATCTCAACTAATGCAATGAGTGGCTAGTTTCATTGCACACGCTAGTTTAGTTTCATATGCACACGTGCTTGGCTCAAACTTGCCATTGGAATATCTGCCAGATGCTGAGGAGAATTATTTTTTTTTCTTAAGAATTAAGAGACTTTTCTTATTTTATGTCTATGTTGTTATGTTTAAGTGGACAGTTTACTATTTGGCTTTGGTGACTTTTTGTTCTGGAGAGATTGCATGGCTTGCTGTACTGTTGAATGACCACTTTTCTTGCTTGGGTTCCAGATTTTCAGTAACCATGTTAGTTTTAAAAATAATAATTTGCATAAAAGGAGAAATCAATGGACTCAAGTAGAAGGAGAAAATTTTGATTTGTTGTAGTATTTGGGAAGTGACCTATTTATTATGTGGATAGTAACAAGTAAATTGGTAATTTTGATGGAGACTGTTTTTGAAAAATTATAAAATCTTTCGGTTTACTAATTTCACCCCTTTCAACTGGTTAACTTTTTTTTGTTTCAAATATAAGTGTCCATTCTACATTATTTTTATAGAATCAATCAAAATTTATATGAGGAACCTTTTTATAAGTTTATTTTAATATAATTAGTTGTAGAAAAGTAAATTTTGGATTCAGTAAGTAATTATAGATACATAATTGTAGCGTAGGTAAAGCAGGAAAGTCATTATTCAAACAAATGTATGCCTTAATAAGCTTGCTTAAATTTAGTATGTGAAGCATTTGTTCATTATGACAAAATAAGTGGAAAACCATTTGAGTTGTGACATTTAAATAGCCATGGTTTCTAAAGGACCAAAACAATAACGAAGACACGACTAATAGACCCAAGATGAAGTAAAGTCAACTGATTTTCTTTGTATACAAACCATTAGAAACTTTGCACCAAATCAAAAAGTTGAAGCAAATAAATAATGAATTGTGCATAAAAGCTAAGATTTAATATTTTCCCTAGCCAAGTCAGGATATGTTTCACATTTGCTAAGTTAGAGTTGGCCCAGGGTTAGATACCCTCTAATTTTAATGTGTTACTATACTTACAAGGCTAGTTAATTTACCCACACAAAGGAAAATTCATTTTAAAGGACTTGACAATTTTATTTTTGACACAACCTAATTGTCAGTTGTCTATCAGCTGACTGGTATCAGTGGCACATCTTGCTTTTCTCATTAAACACCAGTACTTCCATTCAGACCTAAAAACTGATAAACAGATGTCATTGGAAGTTTTTTTCTCAGAGGAATCATACCTCATGGGGTTTTATATTTTATTTCAATGTGAAAAAGGTGTGACTCCTCCATTTGACTCACTTATTACTCATGAGAAATCAGATTTTAATTCAAGATCAAATTGTGAAAACTGAATTGGAAATAACCTCCACCATCTGGAGAGCAGTTGGGGTGTAAAGGATGGCGCTTTAGCATCTGATGGATTGTTTTTTTCCTTGATTATGAAATAAGAATATTTATCTATTTATTTATTTATTTATTAAAAAATACATCATGATTATTTTGATTGTTTTCTAGTACAAATTAAAAAAATTTATGTGAGCTTTTATTTTCTACAGCTTTAAATTTGTTCTTTGTTTTAGACTCAGAAATTTGCTTCAGTCAAACCAATTTTTTTTAATTCTCTGTTTTTCCAAATTTTTGGCAAATGAAAATGTTTGTGAATGCTATATCATATGGCTTGCATTATGTTCGATTACCTGTTTGTGATGTTTCTTTTTAATGTAAAAAAAGGAACGGACTCGGAACTCAATTTTTGGCCAAGATAGAACAATAGCAAACAGGTGTCCCCTAGGCAGTGATACTGTTCAACACGATACATTGGTTATCANGCGAAAAAAAAAAAACAGTCCAAAAAAAAAAATACTGCTTAAGTAAAGGAATGCTGTCAGTACACAGCTGGAAACAAATTTTACCACAGAAACACGTATCAAACTAACAATATGTCTTTATCCATGCTCTCAAAATATTAAAGCATTGTGAATACTTCGTAAAAAAAAGTAATGAATATAGATATACTTCTTATTACAAAATCTATTTAAGGTTATTTCATGCATTTTGTTGGTATAGCAAACAATAAAACAAATATCAAACAAACAGTGTGTCTATATTTGTATTCTCAGAATATTAAAGCATTTTGAACACTTCAAAGAAATGTTTAAAAAATGATGCAAAGATATGCTTAATACTACCAAATCTATTAAAAGTCATTTTGGACGATGCCATTTTGTCTACTTCGACTCACACGGCCAAACTGTCAGGTGGCCTGTCCGACCTTCAGCCCACCAAATACCTCGACGCCCTTGTCGACCCTTTCACTACAGAAAACCTGGTATGTGCTGCTTTGTACAGAATGTCAGAGAAGTTTTTCGGGCGAGCCAGCCTTTCGCACAATTGTAAAAAGGTGATATCTCCATGTCCAATATCAATGGCATACCAATCCAAAACGACGGCGCCCGTTCTCTTTATGACTTTAATTGTCGTGTAATTTGAAAGTAATCCTAGAGATGAATTTGACGGCAAAGCGGTCACATTTCCACGTGGCGATAATACACATGCGCAGAAAGATCATTTCCTGGCAAATTCAATAACAACGTTTGCGACAACCGACTTCGTTGGGGGCTGGGGGGGGGGTTTCAGAGAACGGGCGAAAATCGGTACGCGCGCAGGATGTCATCCATAAAAATAAAAAAGCGTGGCCTAAATACAAATAAATGTGAATCAAAAATATAATATAATATGAAATGTGTGAAATGCCCATTAGCATTATTGATTAAAGATGGAGAGGCTGTTTTACAGAATTTTAAGGATCTTTCTGTTTACAAATCATTTACATCTTTATTGATTAACTTTTCTAGTTTCAATATTGAACAGAAATACGTGTCATTTTATTTGTGTGATGTGTGTTTCAGACACTTGGTAGAACAGATGGAGGTCCCATGGACTGGACTATAGAGGATACAGTAGGGAATTGGTGGAGGCCTAACTTTGAACCACCACAGGTTAGACATTTTATTCTACAACATGTTTTCTCTCTTTTTCTCTCTCTTTTCTTCTTCCCATCTCTCTCTCTCTTTCTCTCTCTCTCTCTCTCCCTCTCTCTCTCATACACACACCTTTAAAAAACACACAATTTTGAAGTATTGAAGTTTTTATTTGGTTTGTATACCCACCCATGTTTAGAATTATTTAACTTCAGTGATTTACTGTACCTGGTACTTTATTTTTTTAGTACCCATATGTCCCAGCACATATGACAAAACCCAAAGAACACAGACGCCTGTATCTGGTGCAGTTACCTGAAAAAGGTAAGCAGTTATTTATGGAATTAATGAGACATTAAATGCAACAGGATTTAAGTTCACATTTTGCTGTTATATGACGTGTATCATCATTTTTGTTGATAATTGTGACAATCAAAAAGCCTCTTTAAAATCCAGCAATTAAGAAAAAAAGCCAAAAGTATGCTGTTACTATCCAGATTTTTTGTTATTTGTTGGATAGGAAGAAGTTTAAAGAAAGTAATTTTTATAAAATTTATCAAGGGTCACTAAATGCAATTAAATAAATTGTCAATTTTTAGTTATATTTTCTTCCTTACTTTGTAGCTCTGTTTGCTGTACCCAGGAATTACAAGCTGGTGGCGGCACCTTTGTTTGAGCTCTATGATAACTCTGCAGGATATGGCCCCATCATATCAAGTTTACCGCAGGCTCTTAGCAGGTATGAATCCTTGTTTTACTTTATGAATAAAGTGAAGTATATTTTCCCTTGTGAGCTTGAAGGACTTGACATCTTCTAAGTCACGTCATAGTAAGTTTATCAATTCACTTGACAAATTTTTATTATGTATTATGTTGTCTCAGTTGGATGCCTGATAATCTTGGTTAACTTCTATCTTTATTACATAATTCCCTCTCTCAGTATATCATTACCCATTTGAAAATCTCCTATGTCTAAGAGGGGATGATTTAAGGGGGTGGGTTGGGGTCTATTTTTCATTTCGGGAACTTGTAGCCTGTTGTTAAAATTTTCAGAATTGGTCAATCATTGGCTGACTTAGAATCGATTAGAATGTGGAAGAGATCCATAAATTGATTGTTTTTTTTTTTAATTGATAAGAATAGGAATTGAGCTGTCCCCACTCGGTGCTTCTCTATTTATCTATTGTGTAGTCTGATCTCAGCAGCATTGTGCTGGTTGTGACTTTGTAACTTACATCTCAACTAATGCAATGAGTGACTAGTTCCATTGAGGCCCATATGCACATAGGCTTGGCTCAAACTTGCCAATGGAATCTCTACCAGATACTGAGGAGAATTAGTTATTATTTATTTTTCTTAAGAATTTAGATACTTTTTCTTATTTTACACCTTTGTTGTTATGTTTAAGTGGACAGTTTACTATTTGGTTTTGGTGACTTTTTGTTCTGGAGAGGTTGCATGGCTTGCTGTACTGTTGAATGACCACTTTTCTTGCTTGGGTTCCAGATTTTCAGTAACCATGTTAGTTTTAAAAATAATAATTTGCATAAAAGGAGCAATCAGTAGACTCAAGTAGAAGGAGAAGATTTTGATTTGTTGTAGTATTTGGAAAGTGACCTATTTATTATGTGGATAGTAACAAGTAAATTGGTAATTTTGATGGAGACTGTTTTTAAAAAATTATAAAATCTTTGTTTACTAATTTCACCCCTTTCAACTGGTTAACTTTTTTTTGTTTCAAATATAAGTGTCCATTCTACATAATTTTTATAGAATCAATCAAAATTTATATGAGGAACCTTTTTATAAGTTTATTTTAATGTAATTAGTTGTAGAAAAATAAATTTTGGATACAGTAAGTAATTATAGATACATAATTGTAGCATAGGTAAAGCAGGAAAGTCATTATTCAAACAAATGTATGCCTTAATAAGCTTGCTTAAATTTAGTATGTGAAGCATTTGTTCATTATGACAAAATAAGTGGAAAACCATTTGAGATGTGACATTTAAATAGCCATGGTTTTAAAGGACCAAAACGATAACGAAGACACGACTAATAGACCCAAGAAGAAGTAAAGTCAACTGATTTTCTTTTTATACAAACCATTAGAAACTTTGCACCAAATCAAAAAGTTGAAGCAAATGAATAATGAATTGTGCATAAAAGCTAAGATTTAATATTTTCCTTAGCCAAGTCAGGATATGTTTCATATTTGCTAAGTTAGAGTTGGCCCAGGGTTAGATACCCTCTAATTTTAATGTGTTACTATACTTACAGGCTTGGTAATTTACCCACACAAAGGAAAATGCATTTTAAAAGTGACAATTTTATATTTGACACAACCTAATTGTCAGTTGTCTATCAGCTGACTGGTATCAGTGACACATCTTGCTTTTCTCATTAAACACCAGTACTTCCATTCAGACCCAAAAACTGATAAACAGATGTCATTGGAAGCTTTTTTCTCAGAGGAATCATACCTCATGGGGTTTTATATTTTATTTCAATGTGAAAAAGGTGTGACTCCTCCGTTTGACTCACTTATTACTCATGAGAAATCAGATTTTAATTCGAGATCAAATTGTGAAAACCGAATTGGAAATAACCTCCACCATCTGGAGAGCAGTTGGGGTGTAAAGGATGGCGCTTTAGCATCTGATGGATTGTTTGTCTCCTTGATTATGAAATAAGAATATTTATTTATTTATTTATTTATTTATTTATTTATTTATTTATTTATTAAAAAATACATCATGATTATTTTGATTGTTTTCTAGTACAAATTAAAAAAAAATTTATGTGAGCTTTTATTTTCTACAGCTTCAAATTTGTTCTTTGTTTTAGACTCAGAAATTTGCTTCAGTCAAACCATTTTTTTTTAAATTCTCTGTTTTTCCAAATTTTTGGCAAATGAAAATGTTTGTGAATACTATATCATATGGCTTGCATTATATTTGATTGCCTGTTTGAGATGTTTCTTTTTAATGTAAAAAAAAGGAACGGACTCAGATCTCAATTTTTGGCCAAGATAGAACAATAGCAAACAGGTGTCCCCTAGGCAGTGATACTGTTCAACACGATACGTTGGTTATTGTGCGTATCTCTGTGCCCCTTCTTTTTTAAAAAAAAGGTGACCATCTGGGATCCCATATTGTTGCTATATTATAAGATTAGGGCCAGTCCTTTACTTTGAAATGAAGATTCATTAGAAGATCCACAAAAAGTGCCATTTGTTATTCTGACATTGGCCATTTCTCTGGGAGAAAATTTAATTTCACTCTGTAATGTATCTGCTGTATTGAATTGTTCAACAAGACAAAGAAAGGGTCCTGCCAACTGTTGGATAAATAGGCATAAAGAAAGCAGCTAGTTGACCTGAGGATTCTAACACTGGCCATGTCTATGGCTTTATTTATATTTGTAGAAAACACATATCTTGTACAAAATAGTAAAAAAATTTGGTTTGAAATATTTTGTAAAAGATAATTATATAAATAAACGATTAAATATGCTATGACATGTGCATGAAGTACAATCGCTATCTCTAAACCTAAATTTCAAGCTTTGATAATAACATGCAAAACAATAATTATAATTATTGTAACAATGATGAATTAAAATGGAAGAGAATGTTGATAAATAGATGGATATATAACACATAAATATAAATTGGCACATTTATTAAATGCAAAACTATTTTTTTCTAATTAATACTTTGGCAAACATCTTATTTGTGATCATATTTGTCATACCCATGTTAGAAATTGGCATTTGATAATGGCAATAATTCCAATTACAAAAGATTACATGTTGAATGGACACTTGTATTTGAATACATTGGAACCTTATGAAGACCAAGTGTAAACATTTCACACAATAGACACTTACACTCAAAGTACATGTGGAATAATAAAAAGGCGTGTTCACTCTAGTCTAAGTTGGAATGATATGGACGGCTTCTTTACTTTTTAAATTGTACTAAATGAAATCCATCCAAGGTGTTTTCTTCATTAAACTACTATTTCTCAATAGCTAGCAGCTTTGTGATTTTATAAGGGTCATTGAATTCTTAATGTAAAACCAGGTAATTTGCAATTAAAATTGAAAAGTCAAGATCAATTTTATAAAAGAACAGAAAATTATTCTAAACTTGCAGACCAAAAATTTGGTCTACTTAAGTTCAAGATAGAGCCATGAACAAAATAATAAATATAACAGATATAATATATGAGATATATGAGATAATAAATAAGAAAAAAATATTGGCCTGAAACACCAGTCTTCTTTCTTATAAAAACAAGCACAATGAGCGCATTCAGAACATCGGACTAACAGATCCATGGATCAAATATGGCAACCCTCTAAAAAGGCTTGCCGCTTAATTCCCAATTAGACACTGAAAAGATTCCCTGCGGAGATTACGCAACCAGCATTCAAGTAGGTGGGCCATATTTGATCCGCTGATCTGTTAGTCCACTGTTCTGAATGCGCTCTAAAAGTTTTAACTAATTTTCAGGCTAAAGTTATTTTGCAAAATGGGTCCATGGTGCAACAGCATGCATATCATTCTCTTCACATCAAGTAGAAACAGGCCTGAACTTGGCATATCCATCTGCCATATTCAGCCATCTGCTGCCTATAGAGTACAATTATATAATGTTTTATAATCTAATATATATATACTAATAAGGTTAGTGAGGACCTCATTACTGTTGATACTGCCAATGTCTGAGCCAAGTGTAGAGGAAAATTGGATAGATTTATTATGGGAGTTGGTATGGTTATGTCAGACGTGTTTGACTTTAGGGTTGAACTGAGGACACCTGGGAGAGAAAAGGGATTTTAGAGTTATGGTTTTACTCAAGAGTCGCTGTGTTTATATCCCCAAAATGTAGGTATCTCACCCCTGTTCTTGTTTTTTATTATTTTTTTTTCACATAGGTCTTTGAAACCAAAGGTTGGTTTAAACTTAGGTTATATTTTTTTCTACTACTTTGACCTAAATAAGTCAGAGGTAAGCCATATTGATTTAATATTGTGCCTGTTTTATGAGAAGAAAGTCATGGCAATTGTTTTAGAATAACTGGTACTTTTTTGTAGTTTTTTAGTTTTTTATGAATTTGTCCCAAATCCAAGTTGATCAATAAGTTTAACTGTAAAAATTGCAACCAACTTCAGGTTTCAAATTCTATTGTGTAATAACCCTTGGAATTCACTTAGGTGGCTGGTGGTACATAGCATGGGGGACCCCTCACCTCTTGATTTTATTAAAACATTTTTCAAAACAAATTGACAGAGTATGTTTAAGATTCATTTGGTATGCATTGATCAAAAGTTCTTTAACAACAACTGATTCAATATCTTTGATCTGACCTGTGGCTACAAGGTCTCTTCTAAGCCCATTTGATTTGAAATAGATTGACAGTGATTAGACCCAAGGCGTTTTTCACCTTCAACAACAAATGTCTAGGCAGAAACATTAGTGGTGGCTTTGAGTGATCCATCAGTGTATTATCTAAGATATCAAATTTTGCCAAGAGCTGATTAGCTTGAATCAAACAACAGTGGGAGGGGGGTGGGTGGGTTACACTGACTAAAATTGATTGTCTGAACAATTTTGCCCTAAAAACAGAAGTAATTCTTCGAAGTTTTTGAAGGGACTATTTGAAATAATTCCAGAGCTGTGAAAGTCCTGCGCTATTAGATGGGCTTCTATAATGGTTAGAGACAGAAAAC